TTCATAAGCACTAAAGATGGCGTCTTATAATTGCCAAACAATGTGTAGTGCATATTTGTCATCAATCCACGCTCAAAGATTCATCTTTATGACCTTTTGACTTCGGAATTTGTGACTTAATGATCCTAATTATAAATACAAATTAAAATGAAAATTTTTAGCTCGCAGTAATTTTAATTTTTTTGGTCATTCTTTATTTAATTAAAAAAAGAACACACGCCATTTTTTAAGAAGAAAAAATCAGGGTCATAAATCACAAAACATCGCACTTAAGAAACATTTAAGAGAGATGTATAGCGCCAATATGGCACAAAGCCATCCAAATTATGAATTTTAGTTTATAAACTATGCCACTACTCTTAAATTCTATGGTATTTTCTTCTTTTTAATTTTGTAAAATATTTTATTGGGCTCCTTGAAAGCTCTTTTAGGAATTTTTAGCATATTTTAATATGATTTAAATATAAAAATAATTTTCTTGAATTTTTAAGTTGTCCACGTAGGTTGGCTAAAAAATAACAAATAAAGATCCTTGTTTTTTTTTGGTCCAACAAATAAAGATCCTTGTTACTTAAATAGGCAATTACAACAAAACATAGGTGGCTATAGGGAGTATCCATGAACAAATGATATTGTAGTCCAAAAGAAAAGTTAAATACTACAAATATTTGTGGTAAATCTTATTTTTAATGTTATTGGTCCTTCAAAAAGTCAAATACTACAAATACTTGTGGTAAATTTTATGTTATTGGGTGATTTTATTGTGAGATATCCCTCAACGATGCGAAACATTGCTTGGTCGAGTCGAGCCGCACAACCGTTATCATGATGCTTGTCAAATCATGCGTTTGTTTTTTTTTGAAAAAGGGCAATGATACTTTGGGACTATATGGAAAATAAAAAAAAATGAGATAAAAATTATTCTTAAATTTTAAAATTTTTAAATATTCACTTAAATAAGTAAAATTTTAATTTAGGTATAAATGACTTAATTGAGATTTATAAATTTACTGAAATGATCATATTATCTTTTTTTTTAAAAAAAATTACCTAGCACTCTCACCCACTAGCCAGTCATTGGAGTTTCGGTGCCGACGGTGGCCGCTAGGGTTTAGGTAGGTAACTGTCACTGGAGCTCCACAGCTGACTGATAACCAGTCGACGGAGCTCCAATGACCGACAATTATTATTATTTTTTTTTATGAATTTTTACAACTTTAGTAATTTGGTTAGCAAATTCTTTAATTCTATTAATAAGTTCCGCATAGTAGTTAACAATAAGTTTTTTTTAGAAAATTCAAAAAAAGGCATTTTTACAACTTAAATAATGCATTTAACAAATTTTGTAATGCTATTAACAAGTTTGATGGAGAAATTAATAACGGGTTTTTGAAAAAATTTGAAAAATTGTATTTTTACAATTTCAGTAACGTAGTTAACAAGTCATGTAATGATATAACAACTCTGATAGTGCCATTAACAAAATTTTCCTATGAAAGTTGATAGTTTTAATATTAGCTGCCTATGAAGGTTGTGCATCAAAATTGTTCTATTTATTAGGCAGTTATTATGATTATGAGAGTTATTAATATCATTACATGACTTATTATTGGAGTTGTTAATATCTTTATATGACTTGTTAACTAACTTGCTGAAATTGTAAAATACCACTTTTTAAATTTTCTACAAAACTTGTTGTTAACTATTATATTGAAATTTTAATAGCGTTACAAAACTTGTTAAGTATGCTACTGAAGTTATAAAAATGTCATTTTTTTAATTTTCTAAAAAATCTGTTATTAACTGTTATATCAAATTTGTTAATAACATTAAAAAACTTACTAACTGCATTACTGAAATTATAAAAATCTTTAAAAAAAAGTAGTTGTCAGTCGCCGGAGCTTTAGTAACCGGTTGGCTAGTGAAGGTGCTTGGTTTTTTTTTTTTTTAAAAAAGAGCAACATGGCTATTTCAGCAAATTTATAAATCCTAATTTGATTACCTATGTCTAAACTAAATTTTGCTTATTTAAGTGACTATTTGTAAATTTTGAAATTGGAAATCATTTTCCCCAAATAAAAGACATTTTAGGATATCAATAAAACTTTAAAACATAAAAAAATTCCTCGAAAAAATAGACTTGCACCTTTTTTCGGAAGTTAAAAATTTATCTTTTATTAGAATTTTCAAAAGTTAATTCGTAAAATTAAATACCTCTATTCACGTATACGTTGAAAATTATGGAAGTGTCCACTGAAAATTTAAGAAACTAAGTTTTTTTTATATAAAAAAAATAAAAGACAATTTTATTATTAACTACTGCCTCCGGTCCTAATTATAAGAACCAGTTGACTAATTTGAAAATATTAAGGAAGTAAGTTGAGTTAATTATGTTTTAAATTGGTGTTGTCTTTCTAAAAATATCCTTACTAATCAAGTGTATAGACTAGAACTATCATTGTTAGAAGGGCTACTTTGAAAAATATATAAATATGAGAGACAAAGTGTATTGGGATCTTATATTTATGATCAAAATAAAAGTCAAACAGAGTTTTATATTAGTGACAGGAGGTAATAAATAAAATGATACAATGCAAAAAATTTCAACAGCTAAGTTATTGGAGTAAGCAACTTTGAAGCTCAAGAATAGGACAAAAAACGAACATAAAAAAAAAACCTATGACAAAAAACTGAAATCATGAAGCTTGAAGGCCAACACAGAAATAAATACCAAGCAACAGCCAGTACTGCCCTATCATGCCCAGATCATAAAGGAAAATGAAGACCACCATGGGCACATGAATCAAAAGCACAACTCTGGTCGTCAAACCATGTCATTAGGTTAAAACCTACAAACATTTGTTGGCAAAAAAAAAAACCTACAAACATTTGTATTTTTATGAATGTTGAAGAAGCTAAGTTAAAAATCCTAATGTATTTATGTGGGTATTTGGATTAGCTTATTTTAAATAATTTTATGCTGTATGTAAAATGCAGAAGAGCTTCCCCCCCCCCCCCAGTCGGTCGGTTCTTTCATCTCCTAAAACATAATGGCCTAACTTAAACATGTGCAATATGCTTCCATAAAGAAGTACACCTTACGCAAGAAACCCATGCAACATCGTCGATTAAGATATTATGCATTAACCTAATTAATTCATGAGCCAAGTCATTGTGTTGGATCATTAACAAAATATTTTAACCAATCTTAACTTAGAACAGGTTAATACTATCTCCAGTCCTTAATATAAGATATTGTTTGATTTTTATTTTAGTTTTAATTATAAGATCCCATTCCACTTTGTCTCTTATATTTATGTATTTTTTTAAGGTAATCCCTTTAATAATGATAGGTCTAGCTAATAAACTTAATTAGTAGTAAGGATGTTTTAAGAAAGATAACACTTATTTATTACAAATAACTAACTTAATTTATTTTCTTAATATCCTCAAATTAGTCAACTAGCTCTTATAATTAGGACTGGAAGTAGTATTGATTATCCACTTATACTAAAAATAATAGTTTTAGTGGTTTTCATTTTGAAACTAAACATGGACTTAGCTTATGTTGTGGTTAAAGCATCGAAAGCTCCTCCTCCCCTTTTATTGAGTCGGTAGTTTGACACTTTCAGTACAAAGCAGATGGCATTAAGATATAGAATCAATGTTTATATTACCCCATTAATGGACTAGTATTATATAAAGGTAGATAAAATATGAGTATGTTTCGTTAAAAATTTCGGTTATTTATGAGTTTTTTTCTAATACGCAATCACAATTTCAAAATAGCGATTAATTTTTTTTGTTATAAATAGTATCTGCAGGTAATTCTATTTTTAGATATTTATTAAATATTCTAAACATGATTTACTTAACTTTCCAGGCCCTATACCAATTTCTCAAATTTCTAATTAACAAAAGCTCATTTTTGCTATGTAAACCCTTTACTTGTATCATTATTTCACCAAATTCCTAAACTTTCTTTTAGAAAAAGATACCAAAATATCCTCAAAAATGCTGAAAAACAAATTAAAATGGATGAATTTCAAAATTTCAAATTAAACCTTTATACTATTTTAAAATTTTAAAATATTATAAAATGATAACGTTGCCCTTACTTCTAATGACTACTTTTTTATATAGCTATTGACTATTCAAGTTTAATTATTGACTATTTTTGTTTTCCAAATTCCGGTAACTATTTTTATATAACTATTGACTATACAAGAGTAGCAAATAGCTGAACAAAAAATAGTCGCTAGATTTACAACAACACTTAATGCATTTTTTGAATTTTTGAAACAAAAGTAGTCAATAATGAAATTAGAATAGTTAATAGCTATACAAAAATAGTCACTAAATTTTTCGAAATGAAAGTAGTCAATCACAATACTAGATTAGTTAGTAGCTAAACAAAAGTAGCCATCGAAATTTAAAAAACAAATGTAATCAATAACTAAAAAAAAAAAGTAGTCAATACATAAGAAAGAGTAGTAATCTGAACTCTAGTGACCCATCATCAGAGTTTTGGTGACATGTCTTCAGAGCTTTGGCCACCGACCACTAGCAAGGTTGCCAGTGCCGAAACTCTAATAGCTAGAAACCAATTAAGGGTGCTGAGGCGATAACATTTTTTAAAAAAGAAAGGAAAAATGATGGGCATTTGTGTTATTTAGTAAGATTTAAAAATTTCAAAATAGTATAAGTTATGAATTAAAATTTTGAAATTCACTCATATTGGTTTGTCCTTTCCTCATTTTCAGAATATTTTATTGTCTCTTTTACTTTTCTTAGAGAATATACCTCGTATCTGTGCACATAATAAATTAATAATAATTTGATGCAGATTATAAATAACGTTATATTTCCAGTCCAGCCAGTAATATAAATACTCGCATTTTGAGATATTTTTCTCAGAAAATTCCTGTTTTATTTTGAGAGAAGCAAAATGAAAAAAAAAAAAATTCCCGCATCAAAAGTTAAATGCTTACTTCACATACATTCTGATACTCCAAAATACAGAGAAAAAGAACTTCAAGAATCTCCATTACTTGCTTATAATGTTTCAAATCTGAAATTAAAATTTCCCTTCTAACTTCAAAAAAAAGAAAAGCATCCTGCCTATTGATGTTCACAAGTTTCTTTAGTTCAAACTTCAAAGGCAATACTAATTCTCTTACTCTATTCATGTTTGATGTCATTTCAGAATATAATACTTCTATCAGTCAACAGGTAGATGAAGTCTACATGAATCTGGCGTTTTGTTTAAATGAAAGCTTGAGACACTCAATGCACATAGAATCATAGGGAAATCTCTTGTAAGATATGGGATGTTCTCAATCAAGGCTGGATGATGAAGAAGCAGTTCAGCTCTTAAAACACAGAAAGCTCCCTGCAAAAAGTGTCAGCTGCTCTTCATAATTACATTGAAGAAGATCACGAACCTCAAGGGTTCTTCCATTCATTCACACCCGACACAACCGTAGAGTTTGTCCCCAGTCCAGTGGCAATGAAGGTGAACTACCTAAGGCCAAGTGGCGACCCTGTAGTTTCAGTTGAAGAGAGGATTCAATCTCCTGAGATGGTTCAAGTTGAAGCGTATTCTCCAATGTACAAGTTTGGTATTGATGGTTTATCTGCTATGAATTCTCCATTCTATTCTTATTATTCTCCCAATAATAGACCAAATCTTCCTCCCCCATCACCTCAAGCTTCCCAGTGGGATTTCTACTGGAACCCATTTTCATCATTGGACTACTATGGCTACCCCACTGGAAGTAACCTTGACCCAGTACTTACGGATGATGAGACCAGAGAAGAAGAGGCAATACCTGACTTGGAAGAGGACGAAACTGAACCAGATGAGTTTACTAGGAACAGATTATTTGCAGAAGAAAGAACAAATTTCGGTATCAATTCCGCCATGGAAACCACAGTTGACGAAGTTTATGATGATGGTGGTGGTGATGATGATGTTGATGAAGATAAAGTCGACTGCTCAGACAAAGGCCAGGGCAGAGCAAGTTTAGATGTGTCAAATGCTCTAAGTACAGGTCGTGTTGAAACTAGACAAAAGATGATGGAGATTAATGATCAAGATGGTAATGAAGAAACTTCAGGTTTTCCTGTCTATATGGACCGAAGGCCCACAAGCATGGCAGAAGTGATCTGGGATCTGGGATCCCAATTCAAAGTAGTCTGCAACGCAGCAAATGATGTATCACAATTGTTACAGGGTGAGAAAGATCAGTATTTATTGACATCTAATGATCTGTCAGGTTTTTTTTGGTTGGGAAGAGTGCAATTTATATATAATGCCACCCTCTTCATGTTTGAACACTTACAGTATATTTGTTAAACTGAGCAAGAAAGTAGTAAAAATGTAACTGCCCGATTTTTTATTTAGGACTAAATCTATTTATTTTGCAGGAAAATTTTTAAACCCAATAGCTATATTCCATTCAGCTTCATCATGTTCATCCTCATCAAGGGTTTTATTAAATTCTTCAAGCACTGGAGATAGAGACAATGCTTACGATAGCAGTAAATGATCTCCCAGAAGACCCCTCCATGTTCTCTGATAGTAGTCATCAATCGACATTGGAGAGATTATATGAATGGGAGAAGAAACTATACAAGGAAGTCCGGGTATGTTACCGAACTTTCACCTCTATACTGTTGAACAGTACCCAAAAGGGTGTTAACTTCTCTCTGTAAGGTGTCAATACCACATAGGCAAGGTTTCAACAAGAGATTATTAAGACGGCACAATTTATTTAATATATAATCAATAAAAAGATATAAAAGTTTGTTAAAAATTATTATGAGGAGTAAAATTTAAAAGATAACATTGTCAAAATAACTACAGGCCTGTGCTTGAATAAGCACGCACAAGCTACCAAGAATGGTTAGGTCAAATTAAAAGAACCCAATTCCTTTCAAAGAGTGACAGTTCCAAAAAAAAAAAAACTTTGAGAATATTATCCTTAATTTATTTGACCCAAAAAATAATCCTCAATTGAATTTAACAATTTCAAATATAACTTAATATTAAACAACTGATTATGAGCTGGCTTGTGAAAAGATAAATTAAACCAATACAGAAGAAAATTGAAAGAGACTTTGATAACGCAACACATTTAATCCCAAGCGCAGTTTTATTTTTCAGGCAACAGTTTGCAAAAATTGTTGCCTATTTTATGGGAATAGGAAACAGTTTTCATGCCAACCTATTGGAACAATTTTGGAGTGTTGATTTTACGTAGGAATAGGCAACATTAAAGAACATTAAAAAAAAGAATTGTTGCCTAAACATAAAATAGGCAAAATTTAATATTTCTTCTACCACTTAGGCAAAATATGCAAAACTTTACAACTCTTGAAAGTAATAGATGGTTATAAGTTCTAACCACTCTCCCAACACCACTATCGGATAATATAATACAAAATATTATATACAGACACAACTTTCAAAATAACTTTTGGATTTATGATTTTCAGATGTATACTAAAACTAGTCTTATAGGCAACAATTTATATGTTGTTTATTTGAAAATTTCATTTCAATAGTTAGAAACTGTTGTTTATTTTATTGTAGGGAACAGTTTTCTCGTGTTGCCAAATATTTATTGTTTAAATTGAAAAATCAACAGCATGTTGCTTATTTATACATTAGGCAACCCTTTCAGAACTGTTACAAAGCATTGTCAAAAGTAAAATTTTGTAGCCGTTGTTGAATTATTAATGATTATTTGTCGAGGTTGTTACCCACGAACATTATAAATTTCTAATGATCCTGAGCCCTGATGAGATCAGGCAAGAGTTCCAGCTTAAAGAACATCTGAAGAATAAAAATGCATCTCTAACTGATAAGCATGTACCTTTTTCTTCAACAGTCTGGAGAACGGGTTCGAATCGCATATGAGAAGAATTGTATGCTATTCAGGGATCAAGATGTAAAAGGAGATGATCCCTCTTCAGTGGATAAAACAAGGGTGACCATTAGAGATCTACATACTCAGATGATGGTTTCAATGCACTCAATTGACGTGATTTCCAAAAGAATCGAAACTCTAAGGGATAAGGAGCTGCATCCTCAACTGCTTCAGCTGGTGAAAGGGTACGGGTGAAAGTCGTTATTCCCATACAATTTGGTTTTCCAGATAAGCTTTAAACTACTTTTTCCAAAAACTGAATTCTTTGAACACACAGCAACTGTTCTCTTATCACTCTATATAAATTGATTTTCCTAATCGGAAAAACCATAGGAGGAGTGATACTAACATGCAATAAAAAGTGTTTAGATAAACTCAATTTACAGTATTCAGTCCAAAAAAAAAAACTCAATTTACAGAAGATATTTGTAAAAAATCAATAAGAAGAGACATGAAGTTAGTATTTATCTGTAAAATATTCTGTTTATAATGCATATCTCGCCCACACAAGATGTGCATATAATTACGTAGGATAATGCTTCAACGGCATTGAATTAAGCTCTTTTTGTGTTTGTTATTAGATAATCTAACCAAAACAAAATGTACAAAATTCTCATTTGAAAATTCAATCATGTAACACTTATATACAAAGTAAAGAGTTATTTTTAGTTTTTACCTAAATCTTATCCCTTTAGTATATGCTATGCAATCCCATAAATTTCCATACCTGCATGACACATCATGCTGATCCTGCAATTGAACAACTCCGACAGCCTTGCAAGGATGTGGAAAGTGATGGCAGAGTGTCATTGGATACAGAGGAGAATCCTAGAAGAAGCCATGACTCTCCTACCCAGAAAACAGTCTTCAATTTCATCACCCGATCCACACAGGCCAGCCGGCTCAGCCTCCCGCCTCGAAACCGAACTGAAGAACTGGCGCGCCAGATTCGAGTCATGGATCGCAGCTCAGAGATCCTACATTCAAACGCTAACCGGCTGGCTACTCAGGTGCGTCAGATCCGATGACGCTTCTCCTCGTCGATCCAGCATCGGAAACCATCCAGTAATTGGACTGTGCGTGGAATGGTCAAGGCAGTTAGAAGCGATCGACGAAGCTTCAGTTCTTGAAGGAATAGAGTATTTTACAGCTACTGTGAGGTCCCTGTGTGCCCAACAGGTTCGAGAAGATTCTCGACGGAAGATAGGAGGATGGAAGAAATCCGATGGGAATATGGAAGCGATTGAAGCAGAAGAAGTTGTGATTGCAGAGACGATGGTTGAAGATGAGATTATGATTATTTGTGGAGGAATGTCGGTTGCCATGAGCTCACTCGCAGAGTTTGCCTGTGATTCTTCAGAGAGATACGATGAACTTGTGAAGCAGCGGGTAGGAGTGAAGTGAGAGGATGCTTCCACTTGGATTTGGCTTCTTTTCTTTTTTTTACCAGCATTTGGATTTGGCTTTAACGTGAAGTTTTTCCTTTTTACATGAATTTTTTAAGCATAACATGAGGCTGTTAAACTACTAATTTGTGTAGATAATACCAAATTAATTAATTAATTATAATAAATATGATTCGAAATTAATTTAAAAAAATAACAAGTAAACGAGATATAAAATAAGCCCCTAGTGTCTTGGCCCAGAAAAATCTAGGCCCCCTAGTGCTAACATTGCCCCGATTGGGCAATACCTTGAAGTCGTTTGATTTAACTGATCTTCAAGTGATTTTATCTTATACAAAATAAATATATAAAAATTTATTGAAAAAAATAAATATATAAAAAATATTTTTTAAAGCACAAAAATGCTTCTTCTTTTTTTTTTTTCACCAGTTGAAAAAGTGCTTCTTCAGGTGAAGGCAAACTGGCCCTTATGAGTCCTAGCCCTTGTAAACCGCAGCATACAATGCAATGGTGAAAAAAAGCATAAAACCACTTTCAGTAGACAATGATCAATAAGCTTGGGGTCACCAATAATACTAAAACTAGTTTAATTTGATGATAAATATAAAACTTTAATTTACTTTATTTTTGATATTTTAAAAAAATCCTTATAATAATCACACATGTTAAATGTCTCATTAAATAGTAGTCATAATCAATACACATTATTAGCAAATGTATTTTTAAAAAAATACTCCTCCGGTCCTAAATATAAAACTATTATCCTAAATATAAAACCCTTATACTAGTGTGTATAATAATCTTATATTTAGGACCAGAGGAGTAACATATTTATTATAAATAACTAATGTAACAAATTTTTTTAATCTGTCCAAATTAATTAACTAACTGTAATATGTATTGTCCTAAACAACTCTCTCAATTAATAAAATGATATAATAATATTTTTTCCAACAATTTATTTGAATAACATTCAGCAAAATATTAAATGCACCTAGTTAAGATACACCCCGAAAATGAGACTCGACTCAGACAAAATCCGAAGATGTGGTGAGCATAATTAACAAAAAATGACTGGAAGGGGAAAAATTGATCCTATTATGGATATTGATGGTTAATTACCAAAATTTTCAATTTGCATGATAACAAGGGAAAGACGTAGTCAGAACAAAATTCATTCATCATAGCCATAGCCTTCATAGTCATCATCTAGCTCTGCTTCAGCTTCATGTCTTTCAGAAATGTGCGTGAGGAAAAGAACAACTGCAACTGCCTGAGCTACCAAAAAGAATTTAGCCCTTCTTCTAAAGGTTTTCTCCTCCTTCGTTTTCTCCCGCTTTGGTTTCCTGCTCTTAGGCTTCGAACCTGATAAATAAACATGAACATGACAAATGAATCTAAAAGAAGATGGAGCATCATAACATCAATAACAGCAAGTCTTATCCCACAATGTGAGGTTAGTAAAATTGACAGCAACAGGGAAAATAGATACTTTCACCTAAATATTTTAACTTAGTAGTACCACAAATGCAGGACAAAAGGAGTCAATCATTATAATGTATTGTTTTTTGGTGTAACTTTTTGTTGTGATTATATTTAGTGATTTGCAAGTTTTTTTTCCTTCATAATTATAGATAATTACAGCAGAGTTGGTCAAGCAATAGCAAGCTCAAGTCATTTTCTGCCCCCTCTCAACTAAAACCCCTCCTAGCATAACTAGACATGTAAACATCCTTTTAGAGTATCTTCCATTTTCCCACATCAAAAATAGTTTGGACATTCACTACGTCAGCTAGACTTAGGTCACCCCTTTTAGAGTACTGCCTTAGAAAGCTTTTGTAGAATTCGAGTGTGCCACACAAAGAGCAAAATATGTCAGCAACTATGCATGAGGTATACTTTTTCCTTCTTCTCTACTTTCCTCTTTCTAAATTTCACAAAAACTTTCTAGCCAAAAACACTAAGAGGTGGAATAGTGAGGTGCAAAGACCCCAAGAAATTAAGTTAGATACCTAGCCACATATTACATACTTGCTTCTAGCACTAGCTCAACTTGAAATTATTTCCTAGTAGGTGTACTTTGCCTATAGAGCCTACTAAGAGTTAATGGAAGCACAACCTATAATTTCAGTTATAAATATTATTTAGAGGATTTTCTTAGTGTATCAGTAAATTCAGATATTGTATTTCTACCCAGTGACTTTGAATAATCTGCTTAGAACAATATCTACCCCTCATTTACATTCTTCCCCCACTTCTGTCTGCAACTTCAATATGAGGGAATCTAACATGAAACTTCAACTTCTGTCTGCAACTTCACATGCTTTTCTGTGCAGCCAGAAGCCAGGTTGTAACATGTTTAAGACAGTTGACGAGAAAAGTCAACTCAGAAGATAATTACTATCACTCTAATACTCTACCAGGCTACTTGCCCTAATAACTAGTTTCATTATGCTCAGTACATGATCTAGTGACAAGATCATTTTACTCCGCTCAGAGATCATATATTAAGCACATGATTCAATCATTCCTCAAATAAAACAAAATGAAAGTATGCATTACCAAGGTCCTGAAAAAATCTTACTCCAATTTGAATGGCCTCTTGAAGCTGATGATGATGCATCTCTATGGAAAGGCAGGTCAGAGGTCGGAAATGGATCAGAATCTATGAGTTCTGTCTTGCATTTTTGCAAATATCTCACTAAATTATCATGTTCCAAAAGCTTGGTCCGTAGCACTGATGCTTCCTGATGGTACGTATAAGCAAAAAATAAAAAAAAAAAGAACGTCATAAAAACTTTTATAAAGCTATATCGCATCCAGATTATAGCCCACCACAAAAGCAGAATGCTCAAAAACCTTTTTTTAAATGCTCAAAACACTGAAGCTATGACACAAGTATTTTAAAAAAATAATTTTGAATTAAAATGAAGGCAATATCAAAGAAAGTTGAGAGGAAACGTGATAGTTCTCCATAAGAAGAAAAGTAGAAGCCAAAATTCACTGATCCCCAATTTATAAATTCACTATTAATTCTCCACGTTCATCTTTGTCTTGTGGAAAAGATTGGTATTTAAAAGAAGCAAGATAAGAGTCATGTATTCATTCTAATCTTTGTCATCATTAAAGAAAAACTCCACAAGACAAGGGAACTAAGATGCAGGATATGCCGGGTTATGAGTTTTAACCAACTGATGATTGATACTTGTCAAGAGGGGAAACGGTTGTTAGATGTTAATCACGATGCTTAGTTGTCCGTTGGGTACTGTAACTACTTCTGTTAGCCTGTCCAGCAGCATAAGTGCGTAGGGAAGAATTGATATTATGATTTACTATTTGCTCAGCAATTAGAGACCACGCACAAATGTCATGTGCTACAATTTTTAGGCTTCGGTGAGTCTGCATGTCCGTGTAATATGATACTCTTTAGAATATCCGGTATGACTTTTAAAGATTAAGCTATCAAGATCGTGGGAAATCTGACAATGTAACTTACAGGCAAAGCTTGTAAAGTGATAAGAGCATGTGCAAGAAAAATAGCATCCAAGCTTGATGGCCTGCATAAGTAGAAGAAGGCACGTGAATACACATAATCAGGAGGCCAGAATTAGATTTACTCACAACTCAAAAAATACGTTATGATATTCCAAGATATTGGTATAACTAAGGTGAGGTTACATTAAGGAAAAAAAAGCTAGAAGCGTCACCTATTCTCAAAGAAATAGTTTTGCTCCCCTAAAAATGTTGACAGCGCATCATACGCAGAATTAGCTCTTGAATAAATCTGTCATTCAGTAATACTACATATAAAACCAAATTCAAGAGAAAATGATATTTATCATGAAAAATATAAACTGGAAAAAATGTAAAGTATTGGACATAAGAAGGGAAAGAAAGGCCCAAAAAATGAACAATTTAGCAAATGGAGCACTGATAAGATTTTTGGGAACTCTCCATCCCATCAGGTATCCTCAAATAAAGCATCAAATACATAAGAGAAACTGACCTCTTCCTCCTTTACTTCAGCGTTCTCCTTATTTACCCCGTATTGCAGCTTTAGCAAGTAAGCTTGCTTCCAGAATAGAAGCTTTCCTATAGGCCATGGAAGACCAGAATAATAAATGTTATAAGCAGAAGAACTGTCACCTCCCACCCAGAGTTCAAATGCAAGTGCATCAGCAAGCCAAGTGGTGAGCATCACTTTCATTGGTATCCAGTCTGTGACTGAGGAAAGCCCAGCGTCTATATCAACAACATCTTTTTTCAAAGACTCAATGAGCCCACCCGTCTCATTATTATAGGCCACATAATCACCAGCCTCAAAGTAAGGGATGTTATCTAGACACCACAATCCAAGGAAACCACAGTAAGTATTGAACATGTAAATGAACAGAAACATATCTCAAAATTCAGTAAGCAAACATCTATACATGCAATAACAAATGCGCATTAAGGTCCACGAGCCCCCAACAGAAGATACGACTGAAAAACCGTAACTTGAAAATAATTTAGCATTACCCTAACTAATTTTGCAAGTAGAATAGCAATACAATGTACAATAAATATATTTACTCAGTAAAAACAAGGTACAAAATAACAGGTTATCAAATTGATCCTCCACGAGAAAGCCAACTCGAAAACACCTATGGAGAAATTAAAAGGAAGCAAAATAACCAACACAAACACAGTAAATGTGAGGCGACACAAATTGTGAAAACATAAAACCAGTATAATCGAGCATGAAAGAGATGAAGAAAAAGCAATACCAGAATCCGGATAGTTCAAGTGGAAATCCACGTCAAATGGAACTTGAGCCAACTTGAGATAGATGTAAGCAGACAAGCACTGAGGACATCCAGTTGGGAGGCCAAAGCAGGACTTCCTCACAACCAGGGTGTTTCTTACTCTCTCACTCGATTCCGCCATGCACAAAAATATGCAGAAGAATAGAATTCAACTTATCAAGATAAACAAAAAAAAAACAGTAATGGATGAAAGTAAGCGCTTTGGCAATAGGGTTTATAGATTTTAGATCGTGTCTCGCAACAGCATAAACAAGAAGAAGACGGGTTCTTTCTTCCTCTTGCTTTTCTTGTCGGCCCTGCTTTCTGGGTCCTGGTTCGGTTGTTGCTTTCCGTCCGAGGCATTCGGGTAAATTCACCCAAATCTGGGCCTGACGGAGCCCACTGGGCCTAGTGTTTCCTCTAATTCTTTCTCCTCCCCCTTTGAAAGATGAAAAAAATCAATTTTAAAAATGAAAACCAATTAATTTGAATTTTTTAGTGTAAAAAATACAATCAACATTAATCTAACATGATGATTTGAGTGGAAAAAAAACTAAATTCCTTACTAACTAGAAATTTTTGAATTGTGAGGGAAAAAAAAAACAGGATACAAGTTTTGAAAAATTTTGGAATGTTGAGTATCAAATAATTTTATCAAAAAAGAAAAAAAATTAAAATGGGCTTCTTATCAACATAATTTATTATTAATTATTAATGATTCGTTTAAAACCATATAAACATAAGGTATTTGAGTCACAATATGTTTGGCATCTCATCCATTATGAGAGTTGTACCACTTAGGCCAATTTGAATAGGTAACATAATTCTTTCTTTCCCAGATGCTAACATAACTCATTTTATGAGCTTAATACTCTTCCATTTATAAATATAAAATTTAATTGATATATTTATTTTGGTAATGTAAGTCCTTAATTTATTTTATTTAAAATTTATTTAATTTTTTTATATAATCTTTATTAATTGTATATAAGGTTTTCATTAATTGCTGATTTCAAATTCTAATAATTAAAAAAGTATTTTAGAAAAACTACAAATAATTAATAAATTGGTTACATAATTTGTACATATAGCAAATACATTGCATAATGTGAATAAAGCCTAATACTTTGAATAAGACTTGTATCGTAAAAGACACAAGGGTTTATTATACTCCTCCGATCCTTAATATAAGACCCATTTAACTAATTTGATTAGATTAAGAAATTAGGTAAGTTAGTTAATTATAAAAAATGTGACATGTTTTTCCTAAAATACCATAATCATCTTTCTTAATACCCTCTCTCCCTCTTCTACTTGATTATGGTTGAGGGAGTATCCATAGGGGTAATTTAGAGAAAATTGATAAATGTGAGAAATGGGTCTTATATTTAGGACCAAAACCAACTCAATAATTGGGTCCTATATTAAAGACCGGAGGAGTATTATTTACGGTTTTATTTATAAGACTTTATTTATAAATTATAAATAAAATGTTCTAATTAGGATATGTAGTGGATTTTTGCGTTGCGTGTTTTCTCATAATAAAATAATAAGACGATAAAACCTACAAAGTTAAGATTCTTAATTTTATGAATTCTCTCTAAACAAAGTTGGAAGCGTACAAGATTAAACAAAACCCAAATCATATGAGGCTATATTGGAATCTCGGAATGTGTGTACTGTGTACTGCACTAGAGCGCACACGTGTCAAGCGAAAGTGTGCGTTGAACAAATTTACATTTATCAGAGCGCATATTTATTTTGGCCATTTCCGAATTTGTCCTTTGTGCCTCTTGTAGCCGAGACTTAGCAAAACCCTGTCTGGAGACTGGAATTAGCCCCTTTTATTACTCCTCCTCAATACATTTCATAGTAGTCGTCGTTGTCGTCGTCGTCATCTGCTTCTCTCTCTAAAGGTTTATCCTTTGGAAAGAATCTAGGGTTTTGGACTTGTTGCTCTATTTTTGCTGCGGTGGAAGTTCAACTAAGCTCTATGTGAGTTTGTGTCATTTTCTTCATGCTTCAACTGCTTCCTTGTTTTGATTAGCATGTGCATGTATGAATTCTTCGTTGGTTGTTTTCTTTGACCCTTTTGTGAGTTATTGTCGGTTGTTTCCCTGTTCAGTGTTCGCATACTGTGAATTGTGTTGCTTGTCTTGTTTACATGAATTGGTCGATGGTATGGGGTTGCTGGGTCGGCAGGCTTGTCTTTGGTGATGAGCTGGTTATCTTTTTGTTTTGATCGTGTTCAACGAAGAATCAATTAGTCAAAATTCAACTGAATTACTTCCTTCCTGTCTGTTTTCTGGGAAGGACGAAAGAGGGAAAATTGGTTTGACTAGTTAGGGTTTGTGGAATTTACGCACACTGCTGGTGCTTATACTTGAATATATTACAGGGTTTGACCGCTTTGGTCCTTTCACGTGCACATGAAGCAATTATGTTTTGTGCTCAGTATGAATTATGAGTTATTTTGTTAAAAATTGATTTCCCTTATCTATTTGGCTATCTATGATGCTTTATCTTCGTATATTTACTTTATCATGTCTATCTCTTTAATTTGAATTTGGGTGAAATTGCCTTGATATCGTGGGGCATATTTGAAATATTCACTCTTGTAACTGCAGTGACCTGGCATCGCTGTGGTGCATGAAAAATGACTGTGAATGTATAATATCATATCAAATCTCTGATTCACTGTGGCTTTAATGCTAAAAAACTGTCTTTGGATCGGCAGGAATTTAAGAAGCATAATAATGACTTTTTCTATGTAAATTGGTATGTGGCTACATCAAAACTGAAGTGATACTGAAAGTTTATGCAAAGTCATTAGTGTTCTTATTTTGTCAGTATTTTGGTGCAAATTTTCTCAATTTCTGTACTAATGTAAGAAGTTGATTTCTCATTAGACATTAATGCCAATTGAAAATTTTATGGCTCCACTTTAGGAGACGATGGGGCATTTCTCAATTTAATTGCAAAAGAAGGCACAAACCGGTTTGAGTGATATGGCAACTGAGAGTCCAATTAGAATCTCAGGAGCTGGGAGCAAATGGCCCTCCCTTAAGGAAGCTGCAACCTTTGCTCCACCATCTCATAACATGGCAGCAGAGGATTTGGGCATGCTTTTGAAGGGACATAGGTTCCATAGTGCTGGGAAGGATGTGATACCCAGCCGAAGTGGCAGTGCACCTCCCAACATGGAAGGTTCATTTCTTGCCATAGAAAACCTATTATCTCGGCAGAACTTCACCCAGAGTGCAACTTTGGAAACTCTAAACAGACCCGTGCAAAAATGTGAGTCCAAAAATCATTTATATTGATCTATGGCATATTACTGCTGCTCCATGTGAGGCTGAACCTTAGACTTGCTCCCCAATTATCTCATGGAAAATTTCCGTTGGTTATATCTAATTTGCGGCATTAGCATTAACTGGAGATTTTCTATGCAGATGTTAGCGGTAAAGGCTCTTTACATTTGCCACGAGGCACTCTTACAACACACAAGGAGGAGTCTGAGGATGATCAATCACCACAACAGCCATATGATAATGAGTTTGACAAGACGAGTGGAGTCTGGCAGAGACTGGATGCAGCATCAACGGGATCTCAGCACAAAAATATGGTTGATTTGATACAGGTGATTGTTCTGATGTTAACTCATATTCATTTACGTTTTCAATCATATTTGGATACTCCACCTTTAGCTCTTTTAGTTTTCCATATCTTTTGCCTGCTGCAGTGGGCGGTAACCATGCCATTTTGAGATTTTTTTTTTTTTTTTTTGCATTTTTGTTTGTATTTGAGTTTGAAAGTTGAATGTTACCGATCCACTTACCTTTTCGTTCCTCCACCAGCGTAATTATGAGATTGTGCATGTGTAATTCTTGGTTCAAAATTCAATATTTCAGGAAGATTTTCCCCGTACTGCATCACCTGTATATAGCAAGTCTATTTCAGTAAATCATGGAATGGTGGAGGAAGCAATTGACTTGGATGCTGGTTCGAGTTCTTCCCATGATCCCCTTGTCACCACAGTAGACGGTGCTAAATTCACTGCAAATGCAGAAGATATGAGGCTGTCATCAACTGTTGATACATCTGCCCATGTTGCAAGCTCATCATCTTTTGTTTCCACTGGCAGCATGGGTTCTAATGATCTGGATGTTTCCGTTGTTGAGTCTCAACTTAAGGCTCTTAATATATCTAATCTGCCAAATACAGAAAACCAGAGTTATGAAGAAAAGTTGAAGCACATCTACCATAATAATATGATTCAACCCCAGATGCACCAGCAGCGAAACAATCCATATGAAGTTCCTAGTGTCAATTCTCAAGGAGTAAATGGTGCATATGTTGGCATGGAACAGTCTGCTCTTAATCCCAGCAAGTTTTCCTCTGATGTCCAGCCACTACTGCAGTCATCTGGGTTTACACCCCCGCTATATGCCACAGCAGCAGCATACATGACATCAGCAAATCCATATTATGCAAATTTGCAGGCTTCGGGCATGTATTCTCCTCAATATGTAGGCGGATATACTTTTAATCCCTCTCCTATTCCTCCTTATGTTGCTGCATACTCTCCCCATGGTGCCGTACCAGTTGTTGTTGATGGAGCCACTGGTTCCAGTTTTACTCCACATTCACCAGCAGTTTCATCTGCGGGAAGCATTTCACATGGAGCTGAAATGGTCCATGCAAGCAAGTTTCTCGGACAATTTGGATTTCCACTGCAACCCTCTTTTGGTGATCCCATGTACATGCAGTATCATCAACAACCCTTGGTGGAGGGATATGGTTTTTCTGGTAATTATGATCAATTGGCTTCTAGGGCAAGTGCCGGTGCCCAAGTTGGTCCTCTTGATTCACAGAAGAGAGCTAGTAGTGTCGCTTATTTGGATGATAAGAAGTTACAGCATCAACGAAGTGGTGTTAATATGGACTCAAGAAGAGGTGGGCTTATGGTGCCTAGTTATTTTGGGCATCCACCAAACATGGGTTTTGTGATGCAATATCCAAGTTCTCCACTTCCTAGTCCAGTATTGTCAGGATACCCAGAAAGTGGGACTGGTCATCCAGGAAGAAGAAATGAAATGAAATTTTCTCCAGTATCTGGTAGAAGTGGAGGTATGTTTTCTGGATGGCAAGGTCAGAGAGCATTTGACAGCAGTCATGACCCCAAAATTGATAATTTCCTTGAGGAGTTAAAGTCTGGCAAAGGTCGTAGATTTGAGCTGTCTGATATTATTGGACATATTGTTGAGTTCAGGCAAGTGATATTTTCAATTACTTTTCAAGCTATCTTAAATTGCTAATTTCTTGTCCTTGAAAATTAAGATTACTATGGTTTCCTGCTCCAGTTCTGATCAACATGGGAGCCGATTTATTCAACAGAAGTTGGAAAGTTGTGGTGCCGAAGAGAAGGCATTGGTGTTCAAAGAAATTCTTCCACATGCTTGCAAATTAATGACTGATGTATTTGGTAACTATGTTATTCAAAAGGTATATAGACAAGGTGACGTAAATTGCTGCTCACATTTGTGAGTAACTTTTTGGCTCTTTGAATCCTGTTCCGCGCTAAATTGTCCTGTTTCCCTGTGTTAAGTTTTTTGAGCATGGAAGCCCTGAGCAGAGGAAAGAGCTTGCAAACCAATTGACTGGTCAGATATTACCTTTAAGTCTGCAAATGTATGGCTGCCGAGTAATACAGAAGGTATATAGTTCATATCCATTGAAGATTATGAAATCAATAAATCAGTAATCAATAATCAATAATCAATAATTATGATGATATCTATGGCTACACTGTTTACTAGTTTTGGATAGTACTGCTCATTTTTTAGAACTTGCACAATTCACAGGAAAACATATCTGGTCATTATACATTTATCTTCTATTGCATGTCTTGACCACTATCTGGTCATTATATCATAGAGAACGCATAGCAGGCATTACAAAAGATCTAAACCTTTAGATCTGTACGACTCTTACATTGGCTAAAGCTTATTGCAAATGTATATTTTCTTATTGTCAGCTATCATAAGAATCTTACCTTAGTGGCTGTAATCTGGATCTTTTTTCTTTCCATTATGTCAAATATGCCAGTGTCATGCCACCCCATACCCAACAGTTTGCTCTCTTCTTTTGTGTTGAATTAATTAAGGGTTATTTGTTTTTTTCCAGTTGTTTATAATGGTTCTATGCATTCTGGATTAGCTTGTGGGTGTTCTCGTATTTTGATTAGGATAAAGTTGTGTTACTTTCTAGATATATATGTTTAAGTCGGAGTATGACCTCCATTTAAGTCCCCCATAAATATAATGTTCTTCCTTGTGATAAAATAAGTTCAGAGGAAGATTGAACGCTGAATTTCTACACTTACTGTATTTAGAGACAGTACTATTATTATTTATTTTACTTTTCGTTTTATGCTTGGGTAGGCACTTGAGGTTATTGATCTTGGACAAATGGCCCAGCTTGTCCGTGAACTGGATGGACATGTTATGAAATGTGTTCGTGACCAAAATGGGAATCATGTAATACAGAAGTGCATTGAATGTATCCCAACCAAAAAGATTAACTTTATAATATCTGCTTTTCGGGGACATGTTGCCACTCTTTCTATGCATCCTTATGGTTGTCGGGTCATACAGGTAAGGTTATTTCATTCTCTGCTCCCTCTCCTCCTAGCATTTAAATTGAATTTTGCTTGGTAGCCCATTCATTTCTATAATAATGTTTCTTGTAGAGAGTTCTAGAGCATTGTACAGATGAGGTTCAGTGTCAGTTTATTGTGCATGAAATCTTGGAGTCTGTTTGCACTCTTGCTCAAGATCAATATGGCAATTACGTCACCCAGGTTGGTCTTACTTCCTCTATCTTAGTACTAATAACTAATCTTGTGATTGTGGTGCCAAGGTGGAATTAGTTATGTGTGTCTCTTCTTCCATGTATGCTGTCACTACGCGAATAATTGCATTGAGCTGCATAGATGTTAGAATGTATATGTCTTCTTTGTTTTGTTAGATGATGGAAGTCCTATATTGGGTGCTTCTCAAACTATACGTCCTTTTCTCCACTACATATATACGTAACGCATGCCTGCTTAATACCAAGGCTTTCCAAATTAGTTTCTCCTCTTTTTTCCCCTACCTTAGGGGGAATTAAGAGCAAGCCTTGAGAGTTTTTGTTCTGTAATTATAATTATAAATAAGAAAATACTTAAATATGATATAAATAGGGTTTAAATAAATATTATTAGGATTTAGATAGTATTTAATTATATTAGTAGGATTTGGATAGATTAGGATATCTAGATAATATTTAGATAATATTAGGATATTTTATCTATTAGGGCTTTTGCTTATAAATAAGTATTTGCCATTCTTTGTATCTCAGTTTTGCACTGTGATTAGAAAATTATTCAGTTTCTCTTGATCCTCTACTCTTCTCTAATTCTTCTCTTTTTCTATTACTCTTTTTCCTTTCTCTTTCCTCTTTCTCTCTCCTATTTCTTTACTTTTCATAACAGTGGTATCAGAGCCTTGCGCTCCTCGGCCACTATCATTCAAAATATGGATTTTATTGCCGCTGCCATGTCAAAAATGAATTCTATGCTGGAACAAATCCAAAACATGGTTCAGCAGCTTGAAGAAATAAGTGGGGTATGGCGTGAAACTCTACCCATCTTAAAGCAAGAGGTAGCAGACGTGCGAAAAGATTGGGAAGCTGAAAAGGCAAGAAAAGCTTTAGAAGATCAAGAAGAAAGCCTGACAGCTCAAGTAGAAGGTTTGGAAGTTCAAGAAGCAAATATGTCATACCACGAAGAGTCCATCGAATTACAAGAGTCACTGGGATTCAACGTGCAATCAATTACCACCACTCAAGATGTGTTTGTCGAAGCTCAAAAGCCTTTTGAGTATGATGATAACATCAAGAAAAATCTTCAGTATGCGCACAGAAGTGAAAAAGAAAGTTCCGATGCTCGAGCAGAAGACTTGGCAGTTCAAGATATAATAAAAACACCGTACCCCATGCTAATGACATATTTGATAAGCTTAACAAAGGAAAAATCAAAGACGCAACTCCCAACAAGAATGGTGTTTGCGTTTATGGGCCTTCTCTTTCAAGAAAAGTGTCACAACTCGTTGCTATCATCAATCAATTTTAATTCGATTTCTCTTGTTCCTGTTTCTTCTACAACATGCTTGACTCAGATTTGGTTTAAAGGCAAATTAATCAAGATGCTCTTTGGTGCTGGTTCAGGACGAGTTTTTGTGTACTTGACCCTTGAGGACAAGGGTCTTTTGGGGAATGGGGTATTGTTATGTAATTATAATTATAAATAAGAAAATACTTAAATATGATATAAATAGGGTTTAAATAAATATTATTAGGATTTAGATAGTATTTAATTATATTAGTAGGATTTGGATAGATTAGGATATCTAGATAATATTTAGATAATATTAGGATATTTTATCTATTAGGGCTTTTGCTTATAAATAAGTATTTGCCATTCTTTGTATCTCAATTTTGCACTGTGATTTGAAAATTATTCAGTTTCTCTTGATCCTCTACGCTTCTCTAATTCTTCTCTTTTTCTATTACTCTTTTTCCTTTCTCTTTCCTCTTTCTCTCTCCTATTTCTTTACTTTTCATAACAGTTTTCTAGGCTTCAGCTTTTCCCACATGTCTATCTGTGGACCTATGGCTAGTAGGCTCTTATTTAAGGGGCCAAGAGTTAGTCACATGAAGTGTGTGAGGTGTATGACCAAGAGAGAAGAGCTATTAGTTGGATATCTTGGGGGAGTGACGTTTGGGGAGGGTTTAAGCAAGCACAACGTGAGTGGTATGTGGGAGAGTCTCTAGCCTCTTGAATGCTATAGGTGGTTTAAGGTTCCTGTGTTACTCTGGTTGTTTCTATTTTCATACTGTTTGTAGCTTGATCCGTTAGACCCACGCACTCTGGATTATTATCTGTGGTTTCCATCACTATCAAAGTGCTGTTGTCCCGTCTTTCATGGTTTCATGGCTACCATCTACTGAGCGAGGTAGTCAAAGATGAAAACATAGGGGGCCAAACCCCTGAATTGCCTTGGGTCAGAGGTATTGAAAAGTACACACGTGTGAAGCGAGGCACTAAAATTTAGGAAGGGGGCGCTAAATATGTTATATATATAAAAGTAAATAATAGCAGATATGGAACAACGCTTGATGTATGAATGAGCTATTCAGTTATGATAATCAAGTAATAAGTCATAATAATCATCAAATGCACCAATGAAGCCCTAAAATTTCTGTTCAAGTTTAATAATTATTTAATCGTAACTGATAAAATACTTGTGCTTGGCTTTTAATGCCATCTCTTCCCTTTCCGCCTCAGTTTTTCCCTCAGTCACCTGAGGTGCAAGCCTTGCATGTATCACAAAAACATCAAAGGTGTTGCCATACCACTGCCTGGCTAAGGGCTAGCTCAGTTTTATAGGGCAAGAGAGTTGAAGCATCTTCGACAGGGCCAATTCATTTTTCTATCTTTCTTGTGCTTTATTCAGGGAGCATCTTGACTGTATTTAACTCCAAGTGCTCTTCCTGCATTGCTTAATTCCTGCAATCGCTCTTCTGAAATTTTCATGTAAATTTTTGTTCCATTTGCTTGGTTACAGTTTGTTTCTTATGATGTTGCAGCATGTGTTGGAGAGAGGAAAGCCTCAGGAGAGGAGCCAAATTATAAGCAAGCTGTCAGGACATATTGTGCAGTTGAGCCAACATAAGTTTGCATCAAATGTTGTTGAAAAATGTTTGAAGCATGGTGATGCAACTGAACGGGAGTTGTTGATTAATGAGATTCTTGGGCACGATGACGACGACAATTTGTTGGTGAGTATAAATTTAGTCCTCTAAAATATTCAACTATTCCTTAGAAGAAAAGAAATCTGGGCTGATTTGCTTCCTAGCACATCGATGGAGATGCTAATTTTTACAAGTCTTCTAATATTTTTCAATTACTTTTTTATAACATTTTTATTTACTTAATGAAGAGCATGATGGTGATATACTGTTTGGGGGGATTTTCTTTTTCCCTGGAATACTTTTTTCCCGTGGTTATATGAGGAAATTGACATGTTGCTGCTAAATAATGCCTACTTGCTTCTTGATCTTGTAAAATGTTATTGGCTGTCATTGGTCCTTACAAGATACAACACGTTTCTATCAATGTAGAAATTTTCTATTTATGCATCCAGTAGTAAATGTAGCTAATATTTCTGCAGCCCTTTAAGGTATACAACTACTTTATGCTCCTTGAAGGGAATTGGATTTAGCACTAATAATTAAATAAACTTGAGGGTTGTAATAATGGTCATTTCGGCTGATGCAGCCAGCCACCATTTCATAATTGTATCAACCTAGGGACCATTTACCTGATGGAAAATGGTGGCTGGACTTTCCAAACTGAAATAGAAGGAGTGAGGTGGCTGCGGTCTACTTTGGGGAAGCTTTTATCAATACCATTTTGTTGTTGGAGTTGTCAAGTATCATTCTAATCGTCATTCATCTATTAAACCACACTTTGGTCCACAATTTTTACACGAATCATTTTTTGCAACAATGCGCGGGGGCATAAATCTCAGTATTAGATGCGACACAAATTATGCTAACTAATTGGCTCAATTTATGTCTGGTATTTTACATGTAATTTGTAGCTTATACTTTTGCATGCTAAATCTCGTTTTGATGTTTGTTTCAGACCATGATGAAAGACCAGTTTGGAAACTATGTAGTCCAGAAGATAATTGACATGTGTTCTGAAAATCAAAGATCTGTTTTAGTGTCTCGTATAAAAGCTCATGCTCATGCTTTGAAGAAATACACTTATGGAAAGCACATTGTGGCTCGAATGGAACAATTGTTTGGAGAAGGTAAGCTTTTGTTAAAAGTATGTTCTGGTTCTTTTAGATAAAGAAAGTGAAATTCTTGTGATTATATAAATGATAAGGCTGGTTCTTGTTTCCTTGTGGTGAAAAGCGAAACCATGTTAAAGTGTCAGCTTTGATTTTCATTATAAATGAACTATGCTTGGCCATGTATTTGTAATTGGTGGTATGGGGGGAGAATCACGGACGGCGGGGAGACTGGCAGCCTTAGTTTTTCAAGTTTGTGAAACCACCGTTTCAACTGATTTATTTGATTATGCCCGGGATCGATTTATTGGCAGAACTGAAGTCATCTTTCACTAGTGGTACACTATCAGTCTATCACAGATTCTGAAGATGCTCTTTCTCCGCAATTATATAATGTTAAATTTCCTGCCCGTTCTCATTAGGATGTCGAGTGTCCATTGAATTCCTGTTTATTGTTCAGAAACTAGTATTTAGACCATTGTAGGGATAGCTACTTGGGAATATCAACTTGTCGACTAAAGATGTTAGTAAGATTTTCACCCAGAAATCAGATGTCAGTAAGATTAATAAGACATGCTGCAACCAAAACTCCTGATTTCAAGTCACTAAATATCTTATCTGAACGATTAGGACTTTAGCCTTACACATTATCCTTTTGATTGCATCATCCTTGAAGTATTGCCTTGTATGCTTCTTATCCTATATTTTTGTTTCATGCAGAGAATCAGACACTTGAATCATGAAGGCAATACAGGCATGTTAAACTCCTGCTGTGGCATGAAATGACAATCGGTTAACTTATATGTCACTCACCGGAGAGAGATGATAAAGTATAGCTTTGGGCCTGCAACTGAATAAATCATTGATATTACCTCTGGGGCTTTGTATATGCTCCTCACAGCTTCCCAGTTGATGGCTTCTATTAGCACTAGTACGTACATAAAATATTGAGACTTAATCATGTAATTGTAAGCCATCCAGAAATATTGGTTCAAACTATCATTCTGAGTATAATTATTTGGCAGGAAAAGCTTCCTGATGTAAAATATGCCAGATCTGTTTTGTTAAGTGTGTGGTTTTCCTGAAGATACAAGCAAAATATTTAGGATTCTTTGAAGCTCATCTGCTGCCGAATTCTTGCCTGTTGGTAGAGGTAACAGTTGTGGGAGTTTAAGTTAGACGATTTGCTTCCGGACGAAATTCAGTGTTTTTTCTTGACCAGAAAGAACTATGAAAATACGTAGTTGTCGTTTTTACTTGGTACACTTGACGGTAAAATCTTCACCAAATATTGAATTTTGTCCAAAAGCAAATCCATCGAATAAAATTACAACTTGGCATCGGAATGGTGAGGCTCTCCAAAGAGCTATTCAGTTGTCCTTATTTCCGTTTGTATGGGCTAGGGGTGGGGAAACCGAGCTTAAAGGGTAGTGCTAATAATTCAAGTCACAAATACTTTCAACCTAAAGATGATAAAACTTGTGGATGAAAAAAAATTCATTGTTGGAAACACTTTGCAGTAAGATCATAAGATTATTTTTATTATACTTAAATAATAATAATATTAGAAAAGCATCAATATCAAATAAAATTTATAATGGTATTATCAAGCAATAAATAACACAAGCCTACCATAAATATCAACATAATATATAATAATTACAGAAATTTGCATGATTTGTTGGTCAAATAATAAGCTCATCTCAAGCCGAGAAGCGGGAGACGCGTTGACACAACTGTGAGAAGAAAGAAATTGTTAAGAAAATCACGTGGAAATAATTAAAAGATAAAAAGAATACAAGGCTATTGTGCAAATATGTTATATATAAAAATCTTTAAATTTGTCCTAAATCACTACTGCCTTTGTTTTATTCATTATCTATCCGTCACCAAAACATGTTAATATAAGTAGTATAGTATAATACCATATATAATAATAATTAAAATATCTAACAACATACGCCTACATCATTGATTTCCTGTGACTGTCACGTACAAGGTCAATGGAACTTCTAATAAAGCTAATAAGCCATATACTAAAAGCTTTTCCCATTTTCTTTGAAAGGCAATGCTGAGAGATGGTTACATGATCTTCTTGCTAGTGTCAGCATTTGTAAGGATATGACAAATATGTTTCTATTTAAATATTTTCTTATTGCAATGATTGTGAATGTAAGAACTAAGATTTTGAATTTTTCACGAGGAGTTGATGGGCCACTATATGAGACTTGGTGGTATATTGTCACCTTTATGTTCTCCTCCCCAGTGAATAAACAACCCTTATATAAGAATCACCTTATAGTTCGTAACAAAGTAGTGACATTCATAAAAATTTTGATATCTCCTGGTCATCTAACCCATAATGGGGACATCTGTTGAGTAGAAAGTAGATTTTTTAATCTCCCTCATGCTTCATATAGCAGCTCATTATTCTTTTGTGAAAAAATCTCATAATATCGAACCTCGTTTTCGTAATCTTTTATATAGGGTAGTACTTGAAAAGAAACATATCCGCTAAATATTTTGATGCTACCAAGAAGAGAAAATGGGAAGAGCCTAAGATGGATGACATCTTCATATGTGTCGTTTATTTTAAATGTGACGCGGAGCTCTAAAAACTATCTAATATGCTCATAAGGGTTCTCATTTGGAAGGCCTTCAAATTGAAGTGATTCTTGATAATCGTGATGATGGCATAATAGATTTTAAAGCTAGTGCAGGGATGGGAGATAATCCTATGCTTGAATGCAGTTCATCAAATGAAGGCTCATAAGGATTGAAACTTTGTCCATATTCTAGCTGCGGCATCTCCATCTCTTTTTGTTGCAGACAACTTGCATCTGTCTTGGCATACTCAAATCTTGTTTATTTGCATCTGAATTTGAATTTGAATCGATCAAACTTTGAAATTTGAATTGCACCGTTGAAAAAAAAAAGTTTTATTGAAGTCAAGAATCCTTTTATATTTAACACACAAGGTGGTAACAGATACAAGAATTCTTTGAATTTATCCCTTAATCTATAAACGACCCATTACTTTATTCCATCCATTATATACCAATAACAACTAGTTTTGATACCACCTTTAAGACAAACTATATGCATATAACTAATATAATATAATATAATATATATAATACTAATTAAAATATCTAACATCATATCCTCACTTCACTCGTTTCCTCCAGCTCTGCGCCCCATTCAAGGTCAATGGCGCTTCCAATGGAGACATAAATTTGGGTTTTTTCCATTTTACTTGAAGGACAATGTTAAGAGGCGTTTACACTATCTTCCTATTCGTAGCATTAAAACTTGGAAGAACATGGCAAATACATTTGTTTAAATGTTATCCAGTTGCAAGTCCTTTTCCTTCTGCCTAAGCACTTGGAGCATCCACCACCCTCACTTGGAGATTATCGTGAGTGCTCTCATTTTTCTTTTTTTTTTTCTTTATCATTTATTCGTCTCTCTTCTCTATACTTATTGGCGGCTTCTCACTGGTTAAGAGAACATTCTAGTCAGAGTAGGACGTAATGAGGAAGCTAGATGAGTTAGAGAACCCTATCAAAGCATGCACCATGAAATATTTGGATCAATGAGGAAATGATACAATTAACACAGTTAATGATATGAAATATCTGAATGAAGAAATTATATGAAATATCTAAAATGAAATTTTGAATTTTTTTCACAAGAAATTGATGAGCCACTAAATAGTTTGTGGGATTGATTCAAAAATTTATTGAAAATATGTTCCTATCACAATTTATCACATTTGCTAATACTGGCAACTTTATTTTGGACTATCCTTGACCACTAATCTCATGATTGACGCAGCAACTGCCTCAGTTTTCTCCAAACAAACCCTATGAACTGCTCCTTACAGCCTATATATATGCTTCACTTTTGAAAATGAGTCTGGTTTAAAATATAAGTTTAATTTTTTAGTTTGTCTAAATATTTATTACTTTTTCCCCCTATTTTGCTTAGTTAATTATATTTAGTACTCCTCCTCTCATTAACATTACCCTCATATATTCTCTTTTATCATTTTTTTTATTTACTGCCTCTCTCATTTACCCTCTTAATAAGGGCAAATTTGAGGGGAAAAAAATACATTTTTTATCTATTTATTATTTTTAACTAATTTTAATTGCTAGTTTGTTAAACATGATTTAGTTATTTGAAGCTTATATATAAAATTGGTAGGAGTAACATGACTAGGAATGAGGATCATTGGGTTAGCAACTTTGGTATAAGTTTTAGTATATCATGTGTCGAACCGGAATGCTACAAAGTCAACTATTTTTTCCTTACCTTCCGTACCATTCTTTTTGAATATGTGATTATTTGATCATAGACTATCTGTTCAGATTTTTCTTTTCATTTTAGTTTTACTCTAACAAAGATACATTTTACATTCTTGTTGAAGGCTTATTACTTAATAAATAAAATGTATATGTTTCAAATAAAAATAGGATAATACATGATTAACTAAAATTTTTATGCAAAATTATATGCTTTTGACTTTTGATTCAGAAAATAAAAATGAATTCAAACCACTATTTCCTGAGATATTTTTGGATGTTGGATAAGAATATTAATTATTGTCCAAATTTTGCAAAGATAAATACAAATCTCTTTTGACACATACAGAAGTGCACGACAAAATGCCGTCTCGTATGTACTGCTGTGCAGTAAATCCGAACGGTTGGGGGGAAATGAGCAAATCCCTGACTTTTCCGTTATTCCCTTCAAAAATTACCTCCATAGAATTTCGATTTACATCAGAACTGGTTATGAGCTTTGATATGTATCTGACAGTCAAAGATCACAAACCATTTGAAGGTAAATTAAGAATACAAATCTCTTAATTAGCCAAAAAAAGGGTAAAGCAGAAAACACATTATCCAAACCCACAAAATTGTTCCGAATCCTATGCTCCGATAAAATATTAAATAATATACTGAATGAACAAAACTTGTCTGGGGCCTTAGCAGGACGCAAAGCCTAGTGCCTGATTAATTCCGAGGCAAGTGCCAAACAAACAAGATCAGAAGCGATCCTTGCGTTTCCGACCTGTGTACTTGGTGTCTGGAGGCACCACATTTCCTCTCCTTCTCATTTGCTCTTTCTTCCTCAGTATCCATTCCCTTCCCTTCCCACTCTTGTTATGCTTCTGTTTCTTCTTAGGCCTATGCCTATCTGAGATACAGACCTGAAAATTTCAGAATTTACAAAAGATCAATAATTTCAGGCCATGATTGACTAATCAAATAAAACACGAACCAATGCCAAAGTTATAGTATAAATTCTGGACTGCAAGAAGTTCTTTTTTCTAATTTTGAGAAGTAAAAAGGGCCAGAAAAGAAATACCGTTTTATTCTCTTCATCCTCACTTTCATCGTCAGAGCAACTCTCCCCATCTTCACCTTTGCCCTTGGTTACTGATGTGTTTATCGTTCGTTGACCACATGTGAGGACAAGAAATTCTTTTCTCCTCTTTGAACTATCACAATGCAATTGTTCGTCAGCTAGTGCAACACCAAAAACATGCTCAAAAAGAATATCTGATCTATAAGATGCTCTTCATAAGAAAAGGCGGGAAAAGCCAAAAACAGGGAACAACTCTGGTTCAAACATAACTACTTCTTAGAATATGTCCACAAAACAAATACTCCATTACTCTTTTGAATGTGATTATCATCATAATTATTTTACGAACAAAAGGCAAAAACCCAATCTATATATTCTAGTAGCCCACTGTACACACGATTTAAATGACTAGTAACAGGCTGTCCCAATAAATTCTTTTTTTTTTTTAAAAAAAAAAGATTGATGAGCTTGTCAACATAAACTTCAACACAAACATGCTATTTATGATCTGTTTTTCACACAGAATCTCATAGTGAAAGCAAATACACCACATTACCATGAACCACAGATAACCAGTTAGCCGATGCATTTCTATTTTGGGTTGGCTTTGTTTCAGAAAATTAATTGCACTTTTAAGAGGAGATAAAGAGCAACTTATTGTTGAAAAGAAAATATGATTACTTTACAAGACACTGGAAGATCAAAGATATTGTGCTAAGTACAGACCAAATGCCATTAAATGCAGAAAATGTTTTGCTAGAAAATCATTTCTATAAAACGAATAAACCATATTTCTACCACCTGTGAGGAAAATCCACGACTATACCACCAGAAAAACCAGCATGCATTGCAGCATTTAGAATCAATTCACGCTGCTGTAGACTTTCAGGATATAATTGAAACACTGCTCTAGATCCATTTGACAAGCATTTGTATAAAGATGTAAAGAAAGCCCTACAAATTCAAAAGATACATTGTTATGTACCATAGAGGAACAGTGAAAAATTTCACCATAGCCTAGTTTTAGAACAGTAAAATGCAAAAGAGGAGAAACCAACTACAGATGCTAGAATATACATGAAAGGGATGAAGTAATAAAATTGAACTACAAAACATAAGAGCAGGAACATACTTCAATCTTAATCTTGGATTGTGAGAGGATTTATCAGCATTGCATAACCACTGCAACCAAATAGAAGTATATGAGAGTAAGTGAGAAAGTAAATGACAAACAAGCCCAATCAAGTATAGCAACAGAGCATTAGCTTCATTGGTATATATATTTGAAATATAAAAAGCCACCCATAGAACAGAGCTGTTATCTTCCACAATTCTTTTTCCCTCATAGTCTAACGAGCTTTTCTCATAACTCTATTTTCTCAAGAGTGACACAATACTTATCCTTCGGTAATTTCATTTAATATAATTTTCTCACTTACTTCTGTTAGGTTTCCCTAGTCCAAGAACACCCTCATTCATACATACGATTCTGCATCACTTAGCTCACCCCCTGCCAGCAATCTTATGAAATTTGTATTTTAGTAACTCCACAAAGGAGGGTGTTTATTTGTGACAACAAATAAAGTTATTTAGGTTGTTGTTATCAAATTTTCCAAGTAAACCACATCATGCAGAGGAACTTCTTTAATGGAGTCAACCATGTAATATCATTCTTTAAATGATAATCATATTACATGCAGCGATTGGAGAACCTAACAACAATCATGGGGGAAAAAAAAGTTACACCCAAGTCTTGTCGGTGCAAACAGCAGGTTTGCAAAATGAATAACAGAAAGCAAGCTCTCACAATTTATAATTTGATAGTGGCAGCAAACCTGAACTGCAGAGATGCTAATGGCACCATCGATAACTCCAGGACGAAGCCCTAAACCCTGAAACCATTTTAAAAGAAAGATAAGGAAAAAATGAAAAAGCAAATTACAGAGCAAGCATCTTGTTTTCTTGGAGAAAGTTATTAGTTTCACATAACTAGGGATTATCAGACAATTATGAACAGATATAGGTAATCCCAAACCATCCAGTAATAGATAGTTCCAAAACCGTTATGGAAAGAATCAAGTATCAATGCAGTAGAATACTCATAAATCTCCAATTCCGTGAATACCTGACCCATATCACCAAGTAAAAGGTCTCCCTCAGCCTCTCGCTCCGATGCAATATCTAGACTTAACCAAAATATCATAAATTAAAAAGCCGAAAAAAAAACTGAAGGGAACATTCAGATGGCAAGTGTTGTGGTTCACAATATAAAAGAATTGACTCACTAAGCATTGATGGTGAAATGTCCAGGCCAATCCAGTGGTGTCCGTTCTCTGTAAGTGTCTCCCCACTAAGTCCAGATCCACAACCTACAGAATGCAATGGCAATACGATAATACATTTAAGCTATTATACACATGAAAAGATTTTTTTTCCCCAAAAACAAGGGTCATAAAACCAAACTCTGTGAAAGAAATTTGTTGGAAAGACAAAGCCCAAGGCCCAAGCCAAATAGACTTAGTGTTACTTGTTAAGTAGTTTTTTAGTTTACTCATTTATCTTTTCCGTCTTAGATCAGATAGGGATAGATAGCAATATCCTATCTTGAGTTATCCTTGTTCGGTATATATATATATATATATGATGTATTCCTACTTATTCAATATACAATAAAACACAGAATCATTCTGTCAACTTCATGGTATCAGAGCAGGTGCGATTCGGCCCTGTGTATCGCGATCTGGAGAAGACGCATGAAGCCGCCCTGCGACCAGAGGGACTCGGCGAACTCGGCGACGTGTCGGGGACCTGGGGATGTGTACCAGCGACTTGAAATCTCCTCGCGATCAGAACGACTCGGCAACCTCGGCGACGTGAACCAACACTGACCCGCGACCAGAGGTTCTCGGCGAACCCTTCGACGCGAACCTACAGTGACTACTGTTCCTCGACGCACCTAGAAGTTGCGACTTGAAGACGAACTCGGCGACGTGGACAACACTGACTCGCGACCAGAGCTACTCGGCGAACTCAGCGACGTGAACCTACAGCGGCCACTGTTCTTCGACGCACCCAGAAGCAGACGACGATGACACTTGAGGAATTTCCACCCCTGTTCGGATCAATGAGACGCACTGGAGGAAATTCCAACTCGCCACCCACGGCACTGACAACGGGTATATCATCACAGCAATCCGTTTCCTCTTCGTCTATGGGAACCGAGTCCGTAACCTCTAATGAGACACAACAAATGATAATTGCCCATAAATTAAATGGAAGCAATTACCTACAGTGGTCTCAAAGCGTTCTCATGTATTTAAGAGGAAGAAGAAAGGAGGAATATATCACAGGAGAAGCCCCACAGCCAAAACCGGGTGATAGTAATTATAATACATGGTTTGCTGAGAACAACCTTGTAATGACTTGGCTGTGTAACTCGATGACTGTAGAGATTAGTGAAGGCTACCTACTTGCTAATACAGCAAAAGAGATATGGGACGCAGCAAGAAGAACCTATTCTGCCATAGACAACACTGCAACACTCTTTCATATCAAGAAACTGCAAAGAGAGCTAAAACAGGGTTCTATGACTGTAACTCAGTACTATACTGCCCTTACGCGCTTGTGGCAGCAACTGGACATGTTTGATGTCCATGAATGGAGTTGCAATGGTGATGCTCAATTATATAGAAAAATAGTTGAGAAAGAAAGGACCTATGAATTTTTGCTCGGCTTGATAGATGCATTTGAAGACGTGAGAGGAAGAATTATGGGACTGAAGCCACTGCCATCGTTGTTTGAAGCATTCAACATGGTAAAATGTGAAGAGAGCAGGAAGCAACTCACTCAGAATGTATTTACACCATCAGAAAACTCTGCCTTGATAGTGCAAGGCAGTAATGTACCTGAACCAAGAGGAAGGAAGAATTCAAAAGGCTGGTGTGATCATTGCAACAAAAATGGTCATACGAGGGACATATGCTGGAAGCTGCACGGCAAACCGGCTAATCTAAAACAAAGAAGAAGACCTGAAAGCAAGAGCTATTCTGCAGTAGTTGATGAGGAGAAGAATGGAGAAACCTTAAGCCGGGAAGAATTACAAGTACTCAAACGGATCCTTGAGAGACACAATAACTCATCCGTAACTCCAAAGGCAAATCTGGTAAAGTCAGGTAATTCTATCATAGCTCTAAATGCCATAATGACCAATGATAACACTTGGATCGTTGACTCAGGAGCTACAGATCATATGACCGGTAATAAATCCTTATTCCAAACTTTAAAGTATTGTCACCACGAGAACCTAAAGGTGAAAGTTGCAAATGGAATATTTTCCAAAGTCTGTGGTGTTGGAACTGTCAAAATTCTTGAGAAATTAGAACTGCAGAATGTTTTATTTGTTCCAGAACTGGCATGTAATTTGCTTTCAGTAAGCAAAGTAACCAAGAGTCATCAATGTAGAGTGATCTTTGACGATGTTGGTTGTGTTTTTCAGGATTTGACAGCGAAGAGGAGGATTGGCATTGCTAAGGAATGGGATGGACTCTATTATCTTGAAGGCACAGATAAATATGTGAGCAAGGCGTTATTTAGTTCAGATTCTTTGAATAAAGATGTATTACTTTGGCACTCTAGGCTAGGCCACCCCAATTTTGGTTATATGAAACACTTGTTTCCAGACTTATTTAATAAAAATTCAGCTCCTTTTTTGTGTGAAACCTGTCAGCTTGCCAAATAAACAAGAACCTCCTATCCTAAACAATCTTATAAACCAACAGCACCATTCACCCTAATACACAGTGACATTTGGGGACCCACGAGAATTAAATCAACCTCTAATGCTAGGTGGTTTGTAACTTTTATTGATGACCACACTCGAGTGACTTGGGTATACTTGATGAAAGAAAAATCTGAAATTCTTAGAGTCTTCAAAGGTTTCCATGCTTTTATAAAAACTCAATTTCAAGGGGTAATTAAAATATTAAGAAGTGACAATGGGCGAGAATACCTTAGTACAGCCTTTAAGGAATTCCTTGACCAGCAAGGAATCCACCATCAAACTTCATGTACTTACACACCGCAACAAAATGGGATTGCTGAGAGAAAAAACCGACACCTCCTAGAAATAACTCGAGCCATTATGATTGCCCGAAATGTTCCAAACTCATTCTGGGGAGAAGCCATTCTCACTGCAACCTACCTGATCAATAGAATGCCCTCGAGAGTCCTGAATTACCAAACCCCTATACAAAAATTGCTTGAAACCTACCCTAGTTCACCCTTAGTCTCGGACATTCCCTTGAAAGTATTTGGCTGTGTGGTATACATACACCATAATGATGGTAACAAGCTTGAGCCCCGAGCACTAAAATGTATCTTTCTTGATTATTCCCCGTCTCAAAAGGGATATCGATGTTATTATCCGACAACAAAAAGGATCTATGTCACTAAAGATGCTGTTTTTTCTGAGGACGACGCCTATTATCCCAAAATACCCATTCAGGGGGAGAATTATAACGAATGGCTAACTCCAGATTTCACTGCCAAACCAACGCAAATAGAAACTGCAACACACCTAAACATCGACATCCCTACCAATTCACCTACTACTGTCCCTGAACCTGAGCCAATAAACAATCTTGAATCAACAATCCCACAACACCAGAACTCTCAACCTAACCACACCAACTTGGGAACAAGTGCGGAACAGCAGCAAAACACTGAGTCAGATGATGCAGATGAGCAACAAGAAAGTAGAGTCCCTTCCACTCCAAGGCATAACCAGGACTCTGACCCAATGTTAAATCCTGATGATCTTGGTTGGCCTATTGCTCTCAGAAAAGGTGTAAGATCTTGTACTCAGCATCCAATTAGTAAATTTATTTCATATGAAAGATTATCACCAAAAATGCAGGCATTTACTACAAATCTCTCAAATGAGAGAATACCAAGGACATTCCATGAGGCAATTGAGAACCCAAATTGGAAGCAGGCTGTTAAAGAAGAATTGGAAGCTTTGAAGAAAAACAAAACATGGGAAATTACTGATTTGCCCCCAGGAAAGAAGACAGTGGGTTGCAGATGGGTATTTACCATAAAATACAATCCAGATGGAAGCATAAGTAAGTACAAGGCCAGGCTTGTAGCCCGGGGATATACACAGTCTTACGGAATCGACTATCAGGAAACCTTTGCCCCAGTAGCAAAACTCAACACCATTAAGGTCCTCCTATCAGTAGCAGCAAATCTAGAATGGCCTCTCTACCAGCTAGATGTGAAAAACGCTTTTCTAAATGGGGATCTCGAAGAGGAAGTATATATGGAGATACCAGCCGGATTACAGAATTCCAGTAATCATTCTCCAAAGGTGTGTAAACTGCAGAAGTCATTGTATGGGCTGAAACAATCCCCTCGGGCTTGGTTTGGGAGATTTTCTCGTACCATGAAAAAAATGGGATACTCACAAGGCCAGTCAGATCATACCCTATTCATAAGGCATGCAGGCAACCAAATAACTGTCATTATAGTATATGTGGATGATATTGTAATTACAGGAAATGATGAGGCTACCATACAAAGACTGAAGAAATCCCTGGCAACTGAGTTTGAGATGAAGGATCTTGGACAACTAAGATATTTTCTCGGGATGGAGATCGCTAGATCTAAAAAAGGAATTAGTGTCTCCTAGAGGAAGTATACTCTTGATTTACTGCAAGAGACTGGGATGCTTGGAGCCAAACCTGCAGAAACCCCCATGGAGGCTGATTGCAACTTAGAATACAAAGCGGATGGTGTACCTGTCGACACAGGAACGTATCAAAGGCTCGTAGGAAAACTTATCTACTTAGCCCACACTCGTCCAGATATAAGTTATGCTGTAGGGGTAGTAAGTCAATTCATGAATAAACCCCAAGAGCATCATATAGACGCGGTTCAGAGAATTCTGCACTACTTAAAAATGAATCCAGGAAAAGGATTGTTTTTTGGAAAGGATGGGCCTAGAAGTATAGAAATTTATACTGATGCAGACCATGGAAGATCTTGGTTGGATAGATGGTCCACCACAGGGTACACTACTTTCTTGTGGGGTAACCTAGTGACTTGGCGAAGTAAGAAGCAACCTGTGGTTTCAAGGAGCAGTGCTGAAGCAGAACTAAGAGCCTTGGCTCTCGGAGTCTGTGAAGGGATCTGGATAATCAGAGTTCTAAAAGAGTTGAGACTCATACACAATGCACCAATGAAACTATGGTGTGATAGCAAGTCAGCTATAGAAATGGCTAGAAACCCTGTACATCATGACAGGACAAAACATGTTGAAATTGATAGACACTTCATCAGGGAGAAAATTGAAGAAGGCACCATTAAGTTGTCCTACGTCAGAACCAAAAGTCAAGTAGCAGATTTATTCACTAAGCCATTGCCGAGAAATTCGTTTGAAGAACTAAAGAGCAAGCTGGGAATGATCAACATTTATTCTCCAGCTTGAGGGGGAGTGTTGGAAAGACAAAGCCCAAGGCCCAAGCCAAATAGACTTAGTGTTACTTGTTAAGTAGTTTTTTAGTTTACTCATTTATCTTTTCCGTCTTAGATCAGATAGGGATAGATAGCAATATCCTATCTTGAGTTATCCTTGTTCGGTTATATATATATATATATATATATGATGTATTCCTACTTATTCAATATACAATAAAACACAGAATCATTCCGTCAACTTCAAAATTTAAAATAGTGAAGCGTCAGGGAAGTCCTAATGGCACAATCTAAAAATGTGAACTCAAGTAACGGGTTGAAATCCTCCAGTCTTCCAAGCATATACAGAGTACTGGATAACACATCAGACCCGGACGTATGCCACTGTAAATCTGACGTAAATATCAGCTACAATGCGTGGAAAAACTATGGAACAAGGCATATCATATTATATTATATAAAAGGGGAATGCATTGCAATATAGCAACAATTCCATACCATAGACTGCAAAGAGTTTCCAGCAGAGAACGTTATAAGGACTAGTTTAAGTGAAACCCCCGTGACCTTCTACGAAAACGTCAAAAAGAAAATTTTGCACTTACAAAATAAAGATATGTATGGTCCTTTTACTAAGGCAGACCAAAAAAAAAAAAAAAAGCGTGATTGCATGGAAGTCTCATCATAACAAGTCAATAAGATGTTTCCCGAATAAATGCAGAAGACAAAATGAGAGTAACTGTTTACCAATATCTAGGAGTAACTTGGGAATGCCGTCATCGGGCAAAGCAAGTAGCTCCAGAGCTCTTTCAGAAAGCACCGCCTATAAACACACGAAAGAAGACCACTAAGAATTTCAAAACCGAAAAGATAACACTCGAATTATCGTTTACACATTCAACAAGTGTAGAAAAAGCACCAGGATTTCTAAAAACAAAGGAAGCCAGCACTTATAACGTGATTTTCAGGAGAAAGCACCTGAATTTCAATAATTCGCGAAGAAGATGTGTACTTGCGAGCTTCAGTATCATCGTAGAAAATCTCAGGCGGAGCGAGCAGCTCTGGCCTGGATGCCATGATTGGAAGTCCTTTCCTCTTCTCTTGCTCTAAAACGATGGTGAAGACTGAACGGAGCGACGCCGAGGAGAGAGCCAAGCACCGACAACGTCAAGGGGGAACCGAGGGCAGGATGAAGAAGGCGCGAATGAAAGTAAGAGAGTGAGTTATAGGGTTTTGGGGGAAAGCAGGGGTTCTGGCCGAAGCACAAAACGACCACGTTTCGAATATTAAAATTCTTTTTAAAAAATTCAATCGTATATATAATTATATATCCTCTCAATTCTTTTTGGCCTGAATATCCTCTCGATTTCATTTATGCTCCTCCCAAAATAAAATATGACAATGAGTCCTTTCACGCTTTTAAGTTTCTATAAATAATATTTTTGCAACTAAATTATATATATTTTTATTGATGAAATGTAAATAAAGAGTTCATATGTATATATAACTTAAAATTTATGAAATTTATTTGCACCACTTAAATTTTTAAAGAAGTTATTTGCTTCGAAAATAAACTTAAAAGAGGTACATGATCAATTAAAAATCCTGCTTTGATACTCAAATAATGGATTGATTAACAAAGGTTATCTATATAAATTTAGATTAGAAGTTCAAGGTAATTTTTTTAATCAAATTTAAGAGATAGGATAAATGACTTGACACAACGGTCAACAGATAAAGGATTGTCTTATTGCTTTGCGCGCCCCAATTTGATAGCATAAAGAAAATATTAAGAGCGTAATTTTTCGTAACTCTTAATTTTTACTCAGGCAAACGCGAATTAGCTTATAATGCATAAAAAAATAATATATAAATTAAATAAGTCACACGAGCTTTAGTTTAATTAGAGATAGAGATTAGAGATTAGTTTTAGCTGCATGCAAAAATTGTTCGAAGAATTTTCGTCACTTAACACTATATTGTTAAACCTCTAAATAAACTCAATTTATATACAATTTAGCATAAAATATGCTGCAAACTGAGCCTTACATTCAAGACCGGAATATTATTTTTGACGATTTGACAATATGCTGAGCGGAACGGAACAGAAGTACATAACAAAAACTGGACATTTAGGACTCTCAAGAACATCGGGATAGACCAGGAGATAGAACTCACAAAGAAACCATACAAGAGGAAGTGTTACGTCCAACGAATAGAACTAGAAATGATAAAGAGAATAATACTACCTCCGGTCCTAATTATAAAAACAAATTAACTAATTTGAAAAGATTAAAAAAATAAATTAAATTAGTTATTTGTAATAAATAGATGTTTTTCTAAAAAAATATCTTTACTAATCAAATGTGTTGACTAGAAACATCGTTATTAAAAAAACTACTTTGAAAAAAAAAAAACATAAATATTAGAGACAAAATATATTGAAATCTTATATTTAGAACCAAAATTGCCTCTGACATTTTAATGGGTAGAATGGACTGGAACAAAAGAACAGAACACATTTTTCATCAAGTCTATTTGCTGGAGCTTGTAACAGTATAGTGAATGGGAATGAGGTAATTTTCCAAGGGAAGCAGACAAGTCCTATGAACGAAACTCAAGATGGTAAGCAAATGAAGCAGTAATTAAGATACATTTCTAATTGGTCTCTTCTAACTAGGAGGTTGCCTGAGGTTTCTAATGAATGACAGGCTTGCTGGAGATAATTAGAATGTCAAAGAGGAAAGCAAGCTACAAAGAAAGTTATTCTGTAAGGTGAATACAAATACTTAATCAGCCCTTAAGGAAATAAAACACCATGCTATAAATATCGTCATTGAGTTCTGAACATAATCCTTTCATAGAACCAACACTAATCATTATCTGATCAAATCCAATACACAATTTCTGTCTCTTTGGAAACTAAAGACTTCTCCATCAAAAATGAGCTAAAAAGCAGAGAGAATTACAATAATATAACTGATGCTCTAATCAAAAAGTGACAATCCCATATCCTCATCTTCCTCTTCTTCTTCTTCCTTCTTTTCTTCCTTCTTTGCTTCAGCTGCAGGAGCATCGCCGGCTGCGGCTGCAGGAGCAGCAGCGGCTACAGCACCACCAACGAATACCGCGCCACCTACGACCACCTAAACAAACCAATGGGGCAAGAGAAGAGTTCATCAGTGTACATTCACACAGGTCCGGGTGATAAACACAACCAAGGTCCCTTTTTAACAGCAAATTTAAGCTAGTCGTAAGGTCATCATCCCACCAACACTTCTGAAGATATTTAACTAATTTAACAATTAAAAGGGAAGAGATTATACTCATATAGAACACAGATGAGAAATCATTCAAACTTCTCTAAAAATTTAGTCCGCGCTTCTATTGCAAATGCATTTCAACAGCAAACAAAGTAAAAATATAATCCATAAACATTATAGTATAAAGCAGATAGACAAAGTCCATATCCCCACCCTAGTAATTAATATGAAGCCACAGCAACAAATCATAGACACTAGATATTACTAATTCACAGAATCAAGAAGAAAACTAAGAATTATCAAAATCACATCTCATATAAAATTCAAACTCCACAAAGATTCAGATTACGCAGATCCATTTCGAAGCAAAATCCCAAGATCAGTTCAACGAGAGTTTGATATCAGAAATTATATTAATCACAGCACTAAACTGTAATACGCTAATTGAGTAAGATATTTGGAAAAGCAAACGAACGAAGAAAAGAACCTGAAAAACAGCGGAAGTGGGGGAGACGGTAGCGAAAGAGGACTGAACGGGTCCAGAGGAATCGACAGCGAGGGTGGATTGGACAAGCTTCCTCTGGATCTCAAATGTGGTGGAAGCAGAGGCCTCGATGTCACCGGAGAGCTGCTTGCCGGTCCATTCGCCGTCGCAGTTACGGAGGACAAAGGTGAAGACTCCCATAGCTACACTTCTCAAAGTACAAACTACAAAGAAAAACCTAATGGACGACGCAGAGAAGTTCGAGACGCATGCTTAACAACTTACTTGATTATATATAGCAGGTGCCACTTGGAAACCCTAGTTGTGGGTTTTTTGTTTTTTCTTATTTTTTGGAATGAGGTAGCTGCTATTTATATTGAAATGCCCATTTAACCCATGTTGATTGTTTTGTATTCCACTGGAATCCCTGTGAGCCCATAATACATGGCCCATGGTCATGGCTTTTTTTGTTTGCCATTTCATCACTTTCTTTGAAGTCATCATACTCGTATAATGTACCGGGAAAAAAAAAAAAGGTACTTATATAAGCCCGATAAAATCAATTATGACATTCAATAAAAATGTTTATTTAAGAAATTTTAAAATATTTAATTAATATATTTGTTCGTCAGATAAATAAAAGCTCCATGACATATAATTCACGACCTAAAATTGTTCTTCTGAATGCTACTTGAGCTTGACTGAGAGTGTTGCTGTTCCTGTGTCAGTGCTCAAACCTCCAAACATAATTAAAAAATGTTTGCCCTAATTTTTTTTATAGTTAAAACATAGGTATCCTCCTATTAGAGGTAATTTTATTCGAAATATTGTCGGATACTAAATATAGGCACCCCTTCCGATGGGAATTAAAACCTTGGTTCACTACGTTATGAGGGACTAACTCTTTTGTTAGACCTAACCCTGTTAGTATGTTTACCCTAATTAAGAGCAACCCAAATAAACAATTTTGCATTTTTCACCCCAGTTAGAAGCAACTTGTGTGAAAAACTCTTGCGAGCGGGCTCGAGTCCCAAAAATAACTACAACATAGTAGGGGTTTTACACTTAAAAGATATTTGGATGGAATCCAAACCATAGTTTTAGAAGTGCTCTTACAATTTACGAAGTAAATATGTGGAAGAGTTTACTTCGTTTTGCGAAAAAGTATTTCTGAGAAGTACCTTTGAGAGTTACCAAACACCCTCTTAATTTATGTATAATAATTGTTTCACAAAATAATGATTTTCCAACGACACACTTAATAATATTAACAACGTATATTTATAGGGAATATAAAATGAACTATTTACCTATGTATCGTATAACATGATACTTCCTATGTTTTGAATTGATTTTTCACTCGACTATTGTACTCAGTCTCATGCTACGTTTTGTCAATGCATCAATGAGGTCAAGCTATTGACTATTGAAGTGCTAATATTTTTTAAAACTTGAAGCCTGTTAAATGATAATGTCACAAGAGAAATTGGGCTAAACACAGTAAACTGATATCAACTATTTTGAAAAAAGTGTTGCATAGACAACAATTATAATGCCGCTGCTGTTACCACTTTAATCCCATGTATTTCAACTAACAATTTTCAAGCTAGCTATGGGCAAATCTCAATTAAGAAACACTAATTAAAGTGCTATATATACACTATTCTATCATTAGCTGAGTTAAATAAAACTAAAAATAACTTAATATAAAGAAAAATAAATCCAGCATAAATGGGAAAGCCATTTTTGCATCTTTTGGTCAAAATCCCTCCCAGCCCCTCCTCACGAGTCATGACCAAAGCAAAGCTACTTTCCATCAAGAAGTTACTAATGAGAGAAAACAAAGACACCCTTCTCTGCAAGCACCATCCTAATGGCTGCAGTAGTTCCAACAATTCTTTCCAGCTGAAACATCCATTCCAGAAGGAGAAACAGATCTCAGATAAAATTTCAACTGAAGCATGAGAAGAGGAAAATAAAAATAAAATCATTATATAACTAGCGATATAACTAATAATAATAAAGTATATTACTTTGAACTTGTCAAGGCGAGAGAATAGAACAGTGCATGCATTGTTGTCAGAGCCTTCAAGCATATTTACAATCTGCAACAGGAAAGAAGGGGCAACGAAGAAGGTTTAGAATTATTGATCTGTGTTTTTGCTCATCTGGACATGAATAGAATCAGATGTAAAGCTAATTTATACCAATACCAACAAAAACATGAAATATGAACTGTGAAATGATGAAGAATTGCTTGAGACCCAACAAATAGATGGGAGAAAATTTACTTTATAAAGAACCTCTCACCTCAGGGTAAAACTCCTTTCTCTCTGGGAGTGAATAAATGATCAAGTTCTTGACTCCACGAATCTGCCACATTAAAAAAGTAAATATTGTGTAGAATAGTAACAAGATAGAGGATAATAATAACTTCTCCTATCTTTTATAGCCTCAGTTCTAGAGAGCATTAGACAAAATTTTGTCCGCATGCAGACGCAATTCTTTGGCATATTTTGATAGGAGAAAGATGGCCCGTATCTTAAATGCCATTTCTTTTCTAATACATGTCATTGTGTTTTAGCATCTTCACCCTCTTTGGCTAATTTTTTGTCCTTTTTTGTTTTTTCTGGAAGATATTTCCTGTCCCTGAAATTTTATTACTTAAGAATACTGAAAAGTACTAGGGAGAAAAGGCCAGATGAAACGTGAGAAATGTGGTCAGTGAGCTCTGATAACTTGAGGGGAAAATATTGCACCACTTGACAGTTTATGAATTATGATACCCAGTGCCCCTAAAAGATAGTCTTAAGAACCAAAAACACCCTTTAACCTTATTAGAAAAACACAACATACACAAATTTGCATCATCAAACATGCTTGGAATGGGACGTGTAGACCCATCTATTCAAATAACCATAGTAAACTATCTGCAAGGTTAACTTCAATATGCGCCAAAACATGGCAAACAAACAGCAGGCAGGCAAAAAAGGGACTAATAACAAATAAGGCACTTCCAACACACAAAAATAAAAGGAAAAGATGGGGGGAATTATACATAAGAGCAAAGTGAGCAACCTTGTATCTGTGGTAAAAATGAGATCTCTCGGTGTAAAGCATAATCTTCCTTCTTTGTTCAAAGAACCAAAGACGTGCTCGGGAAATATCACTCTGGGTTGTGTACCTAAATGAACATAAGAATGCATTGAATAAATTAGGTGAAACTTATGGATGTTATATAGCAAGACTTTTGAAGCGCTCCTCATGAAGGATAACCATGAGCACAATAAACTAAAAACATAAAGGAGCAGTGATGGAGACAGCTTCTTACTCCCCAAGAAGGCAGAAGGAGGCATCCCGTGATTTCAAAAAATTTCGTACTCGAATGAAATCAAAATAACTACTGATAAATATCATAATTCCTCCCTGCAACAATAATTATTTCATTGCAAAAAATATATATATCAATACATTATGATATCAAATGATCACACAACCATATTAAAGCTTACTCATAAAGAAAAACACATTTAGAAAAATAGATTAAAAATGCTACCTGATCAGATTCTTTGATCCTTGGGAAAACCTGCAAGAGAATACATAGTAATGTCATGTCTTAAAGTGATCCAGTAAGTGTCATAAATAGGTAAGGAAGAGCACGAAATTCTCCTTTTACCACTTCCTCGGGGAATAATTGTATCATGTACACATAGTGGTTCATTTAGCTCTTCCTAGGTTGATGCTTGTCACCTTTGGCCGAGGGATTATTTGGGAACAGAAAGAATTGGATAATTGATATGATTATGGCAATGAAGTAAATTAAGGCCGGCAGTGAGGTTGGACGAGAATAATTAACAGAAACAATAAAGAATATATAGATGTTTCATACTACTCCCACTCAAAATATAGGATTTCTAGGATCATCATTACAAAATACATACCTTTTGAACAAAATAATCAAAGCGGGCATCTGCATCTACCATTGAGTCTACATTGAATCGTTCATAAATCTACAGGGTTGAAGAGATAAGATGATAAGATGGTGCCAAATAAAATACAGTTTTTTTTTTTGGCCTGAGCTAAATCAAGTACAGTATAAACCTACAAAAACGACTCTAAAACATATTCACCAGAAATAGAAAAATGAATCATCTGACCTCAACAATTAAGAAATTAATCAATTTAAAAATACTTTCTAAATTAAGGGGAAAAAAAACAATAACGACAAGCATAAATAATCAAGATAATGGATCACAATTTGCAACTTCACAGAAGTTGGTTTATCAAAATCAATTTCATCAGCTCATGGTTAGCCCACTTATAACTGCTCTATGATCCAACCAGCAGTCATAGTATGAAACCACAGCGAAGAAATGGTTCTTAATCCTTGGGTGATTTTCTGCATCTAATTATTTATTTTGGAATTCCTAACTTCTCTGTAGGAATAAGTTCCAAATCTGAATTTATATAAATACTCAAATCTGATTTTATGTTGTATTTTATTATATAATTGTCGCAGAGCTTTAATTTATCTGATTCTGTTTATAGGCCAAGTAAATGCATTGCCTGTTAAGTCTATCAGGCCAATTCTACTTTTAGAAATAACACTATTTGCAAGGAAGGATGAAAACCCCCAAAAGAACATTTCACTTGGGGACCCATTACAAAGTTCTCAGGAAGATCAATTGAAAAATTGATAGGAGAAAGGGCTCATCCTTCTCAATAAACAAGATAAAGAAAAGAAATAGCAGATGGACACAGCATAGTTAAAGATTCTTGGTGAGAATAACCATGAAAAATAAAAAAACCAGAACAAACTCCTTAAATCCACCCCCCGGGCGGGCCCCTGCCCCCGGTGAGCCAAAAAAAAGCAGTACAAGGACACTAGACCCTTCTTTGGGTGCTCCGGGGGAGGTAGGGGGCCTTTCCCCACATTACTGACTTTGTATACCAACGGATTGGCAAAAACTAGAAAGGATGCATCATTTCTTTCCCAAATAGAGCCACTAGGCATCAAATAGCCCCAAATTAAATTGAGTAAATTGAGCAAATACAGAAAATTCGTTAAAACATCCAGAATAACAAAAAACAACCTGTGGTACATGGGGTAAAACTTTATGCAGCAAACCTTTGTAGTCACAGATCAGCTTCACCTGCACATATCAATTAATAACATTGACATCATAAGATAATAAAAGTTTCTACATTACTATTTTATTATGTGTTATTGCAAAAGTAGCTGAATTAATTACTTTTTGAAGAAGGTTTTCGATACAGTTCTCTATCACAAGGCAAATCAATATAAGTTTGCATTGAATTCTATATGAAACAAAGCCAAAACTAAGTGCACAAAATATACACACATTTTTTTAAAGTGAAGTGCACAAAAACATTAAATTGAAATCTAACAGTGAGAATTCATACAGTCTTCTTCGTTCATGAAAAAGCATAAAAAGCAAAAGCACCTGTGAAACCTACCTTCCCTTGGTAATTAGAACATTGGTGGTTGAATGAACCATTAATATCTGCAACAAAAAACCAGCAGAGGTTATAGTATACCTGTATGGGATGCTGAAGCAAATCACAAGGCACTTAAAACTTAGCCGAGTCTAATTACGACATAGCAAGCAAATGACTAGATGAAATAGCCTGGTGGTTAATCAACCACAAACCTTCAGAAGATGGAACAAATATAGAAATTAAAGAGAGTTCAGCTCTGCTCTATACATCTTAAGAAAAATTCAAAGTGAATACTAACAAGAAGACAAATGGCTACAAAAAGCTTACAAGCACTGATAACTCATGATAAGTACCAAAATTTTCTAGCAAACTAACATCTTCCCCATTTACCAAAGAGAGCAAAAGAAAGAAGAATGAAAGGGCCTATATTCAACATATATCACCTGGATTTCTTTAAAGAGCATAAAGACAAACCAATAATGCCAAGTTGTTCTCAAAGATAGGCTAGAAGAAAAAAACCCATTACCTTGATTTGAATAAAAACCCAGAATAATTGTCTGCCTGTAAAACTTAGCATAATCATCAAGATACCTGCACAAGAAACAGTTTAAATCATTTCAAAATTATAAGAAAAGAAAATGCATATCATATGTCTCACGCTTCTAAGAAGCATAAATATAATAAATAATTCACGTGACAAAGAAATAAGACATCACACGCACAAAGTAGGGCAGTCCCTTCAAAGATATCACAATGGAACTGGAATCATGCCGAGCACACTAATAGCGTATTTAAGAACAGAAACTAAAATTCTAATTGTCATGTCCTACATCTCTTTGACATACAAGTCTCAGCTTAAAACAGAAAGTTGAAATTAACTCTATTCAATTGTGTTCATTAATTTATTTGACTGACAGTATCATATTTATTGCATTATAGGAGAATGAAGCTTGAAAAATCAATGTTGATCTCCATATCTGTTGGTTTAAGTCAAATAATTTCACTAACCTAAATATACATATGTCTTTCTGTCTTTGAACAAGAACGGAAAATCTTGGGGAGATAAAAGTTCCGTCTGTAAAGTGTAAAGACAGAGGCCTTGTTGACTCTCACATAATTAAAAGTGAACCATAGTGTAGATCCAAATTAATTATTATATGGCATTTGATTGCCAATTCCAAATATCATTGTAGGTCTTTTTGTTATTCAAGGCTCTCCACTAAACAAGGAACAAAAATGTATGCAAAGGAAAATAACTGGGCCAGTGAAGACCTTGTCTCCAAATGCCTGGATTATCTGTCACGACTCACAAGTTAGGAAAATGGCAATAATCTTTTTCTACACTTCGAGATTGCTAGGAACTTGTTGGAAAGTTATTTAACGCTTTTGTAAAGCAGTAAATTGATCGAGAGTTTATTCTCCACTGGGTTGTAAAAGAAAGGAAGCTTTGTGAATTGATCGACTCACAAGGTTTTGTGAAGTTCGTGCACATTTGAGACTCATATGAATTTGGTTAAATCAATGAGCGAGGATTTTCAGCCTGCAGCTCGACAGTCAAAATTCTTCCCATAGGATAGCCGTGACAGCTCCTGTGTGGGTTTGTGCTTATGGTATTTTCAAACCCCCCCCCCCAAAAAAAAAAATGAGGAGTTCCATTTTGTGCACCCCTTGTTTCTTACAGTTATGGTTGCTACCCAATACAACATAAACTATCATTGTGCACGCAAAAACCAATCCCAAAGTATTCAATTAAAAATATCATTTTTCATGGGCAGAACAAAACGCATGAGAAAGATAATATATATCACACCATGGTCTTATCCGCATGACATTTGTTCCAGGCTGCTTTGAAGGTAAGCGGTTCAAGTGTTCAAGAACTGTATGCACATGAGACCAATCCTGCCATTTTTTGGGATATATGATAGACAAAATTCATTTATGGGCTCAAGATCATGAACTTTCCGAATGTTGCAACTATATCAAGTAATAGCCTTAACATACCTGCATTGCTATTACATCCGCATGATCAACAATCAGAACCTGCTCATAATTCATTCGCCAGGTCAACTTTACAGCATATTTCGTACATAAAAGGTACCAACATACGTATTCAGAATTATCAAGACATAAATTTCAAAAACAGTAACAGGTTACCTCTATGGATGACAAATAATCAACATCTTTTTCCTTATTACTCTTAGCCTCGTCGATTTTCTAGCATTTAGAACATTCTCAAGTCATTAGCATACAAAAGCAGTGTAGTCCTTCAAAATATATTAATAAAAAAAACAGTTTAAATGCATGCAAGTTTCAAAATCTAAAGAAAAAAATGGTAGAACACATTTCAACTCAAAGCTTAGGCTGTTTAATGAAGGTCAATGAATAGTTAAGTCATTAAATTTTAAAATACAAAAACAAAGGTTAAAATTTTAAATGGAAATTTCTTACATTAACTAAGCACAATGGTGAAGCAACAATGATGTCTGAGGTATGAAAATCACTAAATAACTTGATTGTTTTCCTGCACAAAAGAAATAGAATATATCTTGGCCATGAGAAATTCATTTCACATTGCTTTATGATACAAGGGCAACAAGACAGAAGCCTCGAAAAAGAACTAAAGAATTAAACTTTGGACAAGACAAGCACTCCAAAAAACCATTTTTAGATCTCCTTTTTATTTATATTCAAGATACTTCACAAACAAGCCATATATGTAAGAATTTTAAAATTAAAACAGGCAGCTTTTACATTCAACAGTCAATTCTAGAAGGTAAAGACAAAGTATGCTAGTACAGAGGCGTCTAAAGAGGGCAAAAAGATTCTTTCCATGATTGGATTTCTTTAAGGAACGTCAGAGTTCTACATACTACCTCAAAAAATAATGAGGCACCTTGGCGGAATATCAGTAATAATATTCTGCAAATATTTCCTTTCTATTTTTTTATTTATTTCTGTAAATGTTCTTGATGGTATCAACCCTGATTTCTAGGGATCTCTTTCCACATTACTCTCTCATTTAATTCTCAGCTGGGTCATGGGGATTGAATAACAGGAGTGTCGTTCATCTTCCCCTATATATGTTTCATTCTTCTCTGCGAATAAAACACACAATTCCTCCTCTGTTCTTGTTGAACGCGTAAAGATAGGGTTTCTTATTATGGTTCTCATCTCTTTCTTTTGGTCCATTTTCATATTTCTTGATCTTTTTTTAACAGGGAATGAGTAGGTAAAACTGTTCAAAATATTTCTCTCCATGTTTTTAATTCTCAGAGGGGCTAACGTATAGACCATTTGTGCTTGTACTTAAACGTTGAAGGCTGTGGTTAAAGACCAGGCAGATGTTAAAATCTCCTTTCCACTTTTTCCTCATAAAACAAAGGGCTACCATAATGTAACTATGCCTACGTCACAGAAACCAACCAATGGAATTGCCCACCGACCCACAATAACAACAAAGAATGATTAAATGCTGGCCGATTATTATTAAATTATAACCAGGAAATAATGCATCATAAGCACATTCTTTAAGCTTGCCGGAGTTGTCAACTAACATGTCAAGGACAGCTATTATTTCAATCACCTCTTGTTGACACTGGCAGATTGACTTGGTTCTGTAACAACTAACTGAAGCCAGTACTATGCTATTTTATACTCCACCCAACTTTTTCTTTGGGGAACATCAATTTTTCAGGTGAAAAGGACTCATGCCATCGTTAATTTACAGAATTTCACCCCAAAAAAATATGTGATAACTTTGGCCTTGTAATCAAAATTATGCATGACTATCCAGCTGCAAAGAGTCCAATGGCAAATGCTGATGGTCAATTTAGTAAAACTTCCACCCTTCCCAGAAAAAAGATCTATAATAAATTAAGCTACTTACTATTTAGAAATTTAATTTACCGTGTAAACTTGATGCCAATCATGAAGTCATCCTCATTATTGCCACCAAAAAGTGCCTGAAAGTCGGAACCTTTATATGACTTTTGGGGTTTTGCATTTCCAGATTCCTGCCCATTTTCATCCATTTGATCATTGCCTTTATCGTCTTCACTTCCAAATTTGGTGGAAAAACGGTCCATATGCTCCACATTGAGCTGAGAAAACCAAAACAGAACTATTAAACTGCCTGTTTATCTTCTCAACTAGAGCACAAGTAAAACACACGCATCTCATTACTTCTTATGAAAAAAACATAATAATAACTAACTACTGATTAAATGATGGACATTACCAGTATTCAGCAATCACAACAATAATTACAACCTTGAGCATAAAGACATAGCAAACATTGTGGATAAAACCAAGCCTATGAAGTTATATATCAAACTTGATATCAATAAATGGGTTTAAAACTGCACATTTCATGCACTTGGTTTCCTTGTCATGGAAAACCTTAGCACGTAGATTTTTTTCAAAGCCACAAACCATCAACTCTAATCCTAAATACGGGCATCTAAGTGGAATGGAAAACCTTCCTGCAAATGATAACTTGAGGTGGGAAAGTCAACCCACTTAAGTAACCCACTGAGCATCTCTTGCTGCTCATTGCTCAAGGTTGGACTTCAGCATCCCACATTACCTTGTTATCATCAAAAATCATATTTTATTTTCTTTTGACTAACACACACTGCTGACATATGCAATTACATGCTATAGCCTGTTGAAAACATCTCAGTAATGTATGACTCATTGGCATATCATTCCAGTCATTAATTTTGTTTATAGCCTCTTCTATAGCACTCATCCCATGAATTCTTTTAAGGAACTTCTCAGGTTGTCAAGCAAAGGGATCAAGGAGCTCTCTTTATTACAAGATTTGCTCAATCGACTTCTGTAATCCTTTAATATCCAATTAGAGAACCCCCCCCCCCCCAAAGAAAAACCATGAACAGAGACAGGCATAGAAGAGATCCCTCGCCCAAAGAAAATGCAGAAGGAACTCTAGGTGAAAATTCTGGTTTTGAAAAAGAAGAAGAAGAAGAAGAAACAAAAATAGAGAAAAAGGGAAAATTACAACTAGGTAGGAGCATAAGGATTGAGGCAAAAATATAATAAGCCTTTTGTTAGTCATTTTGAGCCATTACATGCCAAAATCCCAATTCAAATGCCACAGATTAAGAGTTGAAGCAACCCTCCAGAGTCTAGAACATGCAATGACATTGTTAGTGTTTAGGACCATGCTAAAAAATTTATTGTAAGAAAAGACTTTATCATCAATTATAAAAAAGGTAAGAGGATCAGGCTACAGTACCTTGCAAGATGGAGGTGTAAGTTGTATAAGCCTCTTCACAACACGGAACATGATGCTTGCAAGTGGCAATAAAATTAAAACCTGAGGAATAAAGTGATGAAAATATATTACAAAGATTACAGACTAGCATTGAGATGACCTGTCAAGTGTGCTTAGCAAGTGTTAAGGTAAAAGCTTGATCCACGGAAACAAAGCTGAATCAACAATTTCATCTGTCAGATTTCTAATTATGTATTGGAATACTTAACTCCCTTCTCCAGATAATTAAAATAACATACAACATTGAAACAAAATCAGAATCACCGAATCACCCAGCAAACAACCATAAAGGTATGACCAAAGCCAAAAAAAAAAAAAATCATTACATCAGCATCGATCAATATCAATATAAAATTTATAACAAGTCATGCTGTTTACAAGTTTTGTCTCAAACAAATACTAAATTAATCACTTGAATTTCAAAATATAAGAACAATTATAGAAGCATAGACCTCAAGTACAATGTCACCTCAAATTAATCAACGTTGATTAAAGAAGCTGAAATGAAATTATAATCAGAAAGATGTCGGATTAGAAAACATCAAGGGTCCTCACCTTTGGACGAGTAAAGCCTTGATCTCGAAGTTCATCACCATCAGCACTCTCCCCAAGCTTGGCAAATTTGGCGTCATTTTTTTTCACAAGGTCTCTAGTTCTGAAGACATGATTCAGCTGAGTATATAGACAACAGTCACTGTGTCATTAATGTATACAAGCAGCAAAATTTTATATAAAACAGCAGGACAAAATGCTTACTGAATGCATTATGTATGCATCCATGATGCTCATGTCTTCCAAACCCTTGTGATAGAATGGTCTTTTGTTACAGTGAAGTATATCCCTATAGCTGCTGCCTGGAACCGGGTTGAAACATGAGCTCATTACCAATAACATAAGTAAAAATGAAAATTATGATTGCCTCAAGTACAGGGATTGGAAGAATTAACTATATTAATTTCACTTCAATTTGACAAAGTCCCAACATTTTGGGTCCTAATCATAGAGGCCTACTAATTCAATTGTTAAGGTTGAAAATAATATGAAACTCTATTAGACATACAGATCCTATCCTATTACTTCCTAAAGTTACAAGATAACAATTTAAGAATACAAGGGAACAATTAATATAAAATTGGTATCCAGAGATAATTTTTTGATAACTCACATACCCAACAGTTTCCGTATTTAAGAATACAACAGTATTACAAATTTAAAATCCCTACTTCAAACTCAAAATTCATCTAACTAAAGTGTATTCAATGCAGAAAATTTTATAAATAACAAATAATTTTGTCAAGGTATAAGGAATGTGAAAGGAATTATGTCATGAACACGCATCAGAGAAGCAAACAATCAAGATGCACAATTCTAGAGAGACTGATGGCAAAGATGAAAAATTACAATACATATCATCAGGTGCAACTGGATAATGCTATCTAAATAATTCATCCAAAAATTTCTATAAACTTACACAGGGAGAAAAACATCTTTTGTAAAGAAGAATTAACAGCCTTGCCCCCAGATCTCTGGTAAACATCCATCCAGTGCTGGTACAACTTTGGCTTCAGACCATCACAAGAATTGATATCTAGAGCCTAAATGAGAAAGAATGAAAGAAGAATGTAATATGTGGTTGCACCCATTGGGAAACAAGCTTATTCTTCATTAGCAAAAGTAATATTATAATTTTACAGAATATATTACTATGACAAAGCCAAGACATAATGTCATTCACAAGAGGGGTAAAAGAACACCTAACAGCAAAATATCCATCATATGACTCCATTCAATATCGTCCACTTTTAAATGGCAATCGGAACCCCCCCCCCCCAAAAAAAAACCAGAAAAAAGAAGAAGAAGAAGAAGAATACAAAAAGCTGAAGAGAAAATGAAATATGCATAATAAACTTTATAAACTTTCACAAATCAGCATAACAGTATCAAAATATCATCAAAGATGAACAACACAAGTCTTAAGTTGCAAAAATCACAAAATTCCATACATTATAAACAACTTAGAAGTCTCTCTAAAGTGACTTATCCATTCAGTAAATAAGCGGCCAGGGGTAGTAGAATAAATTCTCCTCCTCCTTCCAGACCAGAAAACCAAAATCAATTCTTCTCCTCCTAACTTGTTACCGCCACAGGTGTGTAGCAAAAATAAAGGGAAAAGAGATGTGGTGGGTTGAAAAGAGAAGTTTAACAACTGGCTTGATATTTGATTTTCGTTTCCAATACAAAAGGCTGGTTCCTAGGACAAAATCATAACATCAGAATGGCATCAGATTAGGATCATGAATCCTAATGCAATCAAAGTAGATTTTGATCTTCTTAAGGACCAAGACAGATTTATATAGGCAGGGTCTTAAGATCTTACAATCAAGAACAAGATCTAGAAACAAGATCATTATCTAATATTTGAGGGCAAGAGAATAGTGAAAAAGAATAGAGGAACAAGACAAATAAACAGAACCCAGAAGTATTTCTGTGGCAAGACATTCCTTTTCCAACCTTTGCGGAAGCTAATTGAATTAAATTTTGTCTTGAAAAAAGGTCACCAGCATTCAATTTGAGAATAGTAAGAAAAGATCATGCAGATATATACCTCTAAAATATTCTGCCCTGTTCCTGTCCACTTGCAATTTGACATACCATTCACTGGCACCTCCCACTTAAATTCCCAATTTCTTCTGTTGTTGATTTCTTCTTTTGATAAATGATGCTGTAAATGTATATCAAAGGAGCTGCAAGAGAATATGGAAATTTAAATCATTATAAGGGGTACAAGATTTAAATAATCCATTCAAACTATAGCGCTATGGTGAATCAAAAGAACAGCAGCAGGTATTATATTTTCCCTCTCCATCATTTTTTCGTTATTATTATTATTATAAAAATGTCCTTCGCCAGAGTAAGTAGTGAAGTACAGAATTCCAAAGAGTTACAGAAATTTTAAAATGAAACAATACTGAAAACAGAAGGTTTAAAAAATAAATCATTTGCATAGATTATCCTGATACTTAAGGTCAAAACCTTACAAAAGGCCTATTCACATGCTCCTACGTGCCTCATCACAAAAAAGATTAGTAAAATCATGTTACTGCCAATTGTAATTTTGCTGCTGTTTCTCAATTCAAATACACAAAATGTAATGGGACCATAGAAGATACAAAGAATTCAATTCCACAAAGAGAGACTTTAAACTTAACGATCAAATCAACATAATAATTCAAAATTTGTTTATATCTCTCCTACTAACTACTATAGCTACAAATGAATTGTAATTTCAAATGGGATGAATTTGAAGAAAACAAATGAAACAAAAGAAGATACTTAATGTTAAACAGTTAACAGACCTCAAATGCCCTGAATCCCCAGAAGTTGATCTACCGTTGATCTCTATGCCTTCTTCATTAAAAAGAGATGGGCCAAGATCTTCATCACTTTCAGAACCTTCACCAAGTCCAGAATCATTAACTTCAGGATCTTCTGACATGCTTTCTACATCTTTGCTTTCAGGAGACTCATCATCAGATGCTAGAAGGGAAAATGTTAACATAATAATAAGGATAATCTGCACTCACTAAAAATTAAAATCGAATTAAAAAATTCTACATAGGGGGGAAAGGCTATATGCTTTTCTAAAAGAGGAGAAGAACACAGAGAACCAGTAATCAGTGGCCAAGAATATAATCAGGAAAGACTGATTAAACTAATAGGATCAATGAATAACTAATGAATTTCACAAGGACCTCCATCCAATAATTAAAATAAACACTTAATAAAGATCCATACGTAACAAAGGAAATTATAGAAAAGAATAGCAAACGGATAAAAACAAAGAAAAAGACAATTTGCTACAAAATTTAAATTTCTTTGGCAAGTAGATATGTAAACTTTACGATATAAAAGGAACGCAAACTATAACTTTCATCAAACCTTGTTCTAAGTCGTCATACACATTGTTCAGCTTGCTATGATGTTTTTCAATATCAGTTTCTTTCCTTTTTTTATCACTTCTGCCTTCTTTTCTTTTCCTGAAAAAAAGGTAAAAAAATGCATAATTATAACTTTTATATGGCACAAAAGGGCATATGTTACATTGGTTTACTTCAGTCACAACAGTTGATTAGAACTAAATAAGAATATAAGAGTTCTTGAACATTATATTAGAGCATTAAGTGCCCATGGCACCCCTATGGAACTAGAATTCCATGTCTTGCTCCAAATCTAAAATATTTTAACTCCTACAACATAAAGAGTTGATTTAATTAGACCAGAACAATACTTCTAAGTTACAGCAGTAGCATACGAACAATATAGTAAAATAGCCACAGCATTGCATTTGCTCCCTTCACCAAATAGTGGAAGTTGAATGACACTCTACTACCAGAAACGCTCAGCGTAGAACGATTCCCGACAAAAGAGAACATTTACAAACAACGCAAAGCATCCTTCGCACGCATACATTTGTCTCCTACTATACTACATGCAATTACAACATCGTTTCAAACGATTACCTCTTCTTGTTCGCAACAGAAGTTGATTTAGTGCACGACTTAAGCGTCTTCATGGCCCTCGGATTATGTTTGGATGATTTCACTAGCTATTAGGAGTCGTTAGCGCGCCACTAAGCCAGAGAGAGCTTGATTCCTTGCTTTCCGTTAGGGGAGTGGCGGCTTTATGAAAATACGGCCACAACAGCGAGAAGCCGCCACACGTTGCAATCAGAATCAGAATTCAGGAAACAAGTCGAAACTCGAAAGTGCAGTCCAAGTAGAGAAACAAGGAGTACCAACAATGGTTTCGAAGTAGAGAAGTTCCGAACAGAAAGGAGTGAGGTCGGAGAAGAGAACAAGAGTAATTGACGGCGGTGGCCAGAAAGGATGGTGTGGGCAGAGGTGACGGCTGTTTATGAGAGGTAGCGGCGATCGGACTCTATGCACGCGTTTTGGGGTGCGCCTTTATTTTCAGTGTCATTGTTTTTTTGAAAGTTTCCTAATTTACCTTAAGTTTTTTGTGGAGTTCGGGTAATAATTAATACTCTAATCTAAAATCCAAAAATATCCATAAAATAATGGTTTTAACTAATTTTAAAAAGACGAGACGATTTAAAAGATATTAACTATTTTTTATTTCTGTACAGTAAATAAATTTATCATACAAAAATAGAAAATAAGCATCAGAGGTGGTACTATAATTTAACGAGACACAGTTTTGGGTGCCTAATTAAAAAAGAAAAATCCCACTGTCTACCAAGTATTAGACTGAATTTAGCACACTGTCAAAGAATCAAAGAGTTAAGTTTTTGGTTTTATCAGAACAACAAGACCGGAGGGCTTAATAAAAATTACTAAAATCAGAAAAAAAAAATATTACTCTGGGCTATGGAATAATTAAAATTTTAAAATCCTAAAAATATTCACAATAATTATAAATTTGATTTATTATATATGATGCATTAAAAAATAATTATAGAATCAATTAATATTCATTAAAAAAAGAAATAATAAAAATTAAAAAATAAAACATTCGATTGACAACAACGGCATTAGGCCAGGAAGAAAAACAAAGTTGCAGACAACAACTTGTAAACACTCAACAGCACGAACCTTTAATGTTATTTTCATATTTAGTTTCCAGATCAAAAGATCAAAAGCAAATAATATTGCGTAAGAATGGATATTTTCAGTAATGTATTACTCCTCCGCTCCTTAATATATGATCTAATTGTTAAGTTGGTTTTGATCCTAAATATAAAACTCATTTCTTATATTTATCAATTCTCTTTAAATTATCCCTATGGATACTCCCTCAACTATAATCAAGTAGAAGAGGAAGAGGGGATATTAAGAAAGATGATTATGGTATTTTAGGAAAAACATGTCACATTTCTTATAATTAACTAACTTACTAACTTCTTTAATCTAATCAAATTAGTTAAATAGGTCTTATATTAAATATCGGAAGAGTATCATATTTTATTCGAAAGGTATATTTTTTACATATTAACTAATAAGAAGCTATTAACAAATACATGTAAAATGTATTTCCATTAGAGTAAACTAGAATAATGAGAGGAAAAATCTGAACAAATAGTCCAGTAGTCTACAATATGGTAACCACATATATATTGAAAAAGAGTGGCACACAAGGTAATAAAAAGCAGTTAAGTGAAAAATAAACTTAGTAGTAGTTATGCCAAATAGCATTCTAGTCCAATAGATAATACTACGTCTAATCTTTAATATAAGAACTAGTTAACTAATTTGAGTGTGTTAAGAAATTAGTTAAATTAGTTATTTGTAAGAAATATTTGTCGTCTTTCCTAAAGTATTCTAACTAATCAAATATATTGGTTAGAACTATCATTATTATAAGGACCATCTTGAAAAAAAAAGAATAAATATAAGAAATAAAGTGGATTGAAGTCTTATATTAATTAGGATCAAAATAAAAGTTAAACAAGCTCTTATATTAAGAATTGTAGGTAATACCAAACCCATAACAATTCAAATACTTTGTCATGAAATCTGAAGTTCGACTTTTTTTGGGGCACAAAGGGAGCATATAGTAGCTGATAAGGCACTAATAACCTCAACTCGAGTCATAGATGATAGTCTATGATAAAAACTGGTAAAAACGTCCCATACATTGCATGGTGATTTGGACATCTCTTTATTAAATCTTTGAACGGATCCCATGCCTTGTGTAATGGCTCATCATCTCCTTGTTTGAAACTCCAAATGTCATTCACTATTTTCTCAGTCTCTGTAGGAGGAGGATCATACTTAGACAGAAATTAATTTACCATATCCTTCCAAGTTCTGATGATACTAGCAAGAAGATTGCGTAACCATCTGTTAGCAATGCCCTTCAAGGAGAATGGGAAAAGCTTTAAGCATGTGGCATCATCAGAAGCGCCATTGATCTTGAACATGGCACAGATGTCAAGAAAATTAGTGATATGAGTGTGAGGGTCCTCCTTTGAAAGGCCTTCAAACTGATTAGGGGTTTTGATCATCATGATCATGGTTGGATTTATTTCAAAACTACCAGCATTAATGGTAGGTAATGTTATACTTGAATCCAGTAGATCAATTGAGGGATTATCATCATCCAGAGGTCTTGTACCTTCTGGAGGAACATTATAATGAATCTTAGCATCTTTTGTTTCATTGACCTCTAGAACATTGGCCATACCCTCTCTTCTCATACTATAGTGTAACTCTATCAATTATTGGCTGATCGATAAAGTAAATAGCTCAGTATCCTTAACTCTCTACACAAAATAACAATTTGACAAACAAGAAAAATGAGTGTGAGAATTTCTAAGAGAAGCTGTAAATTGAATCACATAAACCATTAATTAGTGAAGCACAAATAACGAGCATCACAAGCTAAACATGAAGTAATTCATATAAAAACCAATATACCACTTCCAGTCCTTGATATAAGAGGTAATTTGACTTTTAATTTAGTTCTAAATATAAGACCACAATCTACTTTGTTCCTCATATTTATTCATTTTCTCTTAAAATAGTCATACAGTAGTTGTACATATTAAATATTTCATCGAATGTTAAAGTTAATACACTTGATTAGTAAGGGTGTTTTAGAAAAGATAATACATATTTATTACAAACAACTAACCTAACAAATTTTTTAATCTACTCAAATTAGTCAATTAGCTCTTTTACTAAGTACTGGAGGTAGTATATAGTTGTGAAGTTAATAAAAGCATATAGTATAGCGAACAATATCAAAACTTCAAGCCAAATTTTCTCAACAAACTGGACATAATATGGTACTCATCTTCAAGCCAAAAAAAGGTCATCTTAAAGTCAGCAAAGGAAAACAAAGCGCACCATGAACAGTGGCCAGAATCTTACAAGGTGAGCTCTCATTAGACAAAAAGGGAAAAAAACAAGAAATAGCTAGAGGAAGAAAGTACCCTACACAACAAAATGAACTTCAAAACTTGAGAATTCACACAAAATATAGCATACGCATAGGCAAGAATGGTGGAAATAGGGCAATATGAACAATGCCTTGAAATTTGTGATTTTTTCATATCAAGATAGAATATCCCAAGAATTAAACAAAAAAAATGTAAATTTTTGAATAGATACGCAATCAGATTCACCCAAACAAAACCAAAACAAAAAACAAAAAAGAAAAAGGAAAAAAATAGAGCAAGAGATTTGATAGTAATAATTTCAAGTAAAAATGACAAAGCTAAGCACAAACACTGGAACACAGATTATTAGTGAGATGGCTACGACTGCACCAAAGTGAACAATATCTACAAGTGACACCCTATGGTGGCTATGGCTGCACTTCAACACCTGTGGACGTTATATTTGGTATCAGAGTTAAGGTCGAGTTAGTGTGCCAGCGAGGATGCTGGGCCCTAAGGGGTGGATTGTAAAGTCTCATATCAGCTAAAGAGGAGAACGAAACACGCCTTATAAGAGTACATATACCCCCCTTGTAAATACCTTTTCTGGGTGGTTATGATTACACCTAGAGGAACAAAACCATGAGGTGGCTATGACTGCGCCAAAAGAAACAATATCTATGACTGACACCCTGTGGTAGCTACAGCTACAATTTAGGACTTCGAGACGTTACATTTGGTATCAGAGCCAACGTCAAGTCAATGTGTCGATGTGCTAGTGAGGATACTAGGCCAAAAGGGGGTGGATTGTGAAGTCCCATATTGGCTGAGAGGAGAATGAAGTATGCCTTATAAGGGTGCGGATACCTCTCCCTCGTAAATACCTTTTTTGGGTGGCTACGAGTGCACGTAGGGAAACAAAACCATGAGGTGGCTACGGCTGCACTAAAGGGAACAATATCTATGAACGACACCCTGGGATAGTTACAGCTGCACTCTTGTGCCTTTTTAATTAGCAAATCTGTTATTGATTGGCACTAGTGCTTCTGCATCCCAAAGGCCTTTTTTGTTTCACAAAACAACTACGAGCCCTATTTCTAGTCACAGTCTTTTGCTAGTTAGTACTTACAATAGAGAAGTGATGGTTTTAAATGTTTCTTGAATATTCACTTTATTATTTTCTCATAACAAAAAGTAAACTGATGTTTTTAAATATTTCTTTAAAGAAATGCTTTAAAATGTTTCTGCTATTCTAAACAGGAGAAATGGAGAACCTATAGCCAGAGCTGATCCCTTCCATTGATTTACTCCTGTTAAGCATTATGCTCCCTCCAATTACTACTACTTTTGAGATTAATCCAGCCATGATCATGCTTATAAAGAACTTGATTCGATTTGAAGGCAAGGAAGAAGAAGATCCTTATGAGCACATCGCGGGCTTTTTAGATCTATGCTCTACTTTTAGAATCAATAGGGCATTTGAAGATGCTGTTTACTTGAGATTATTTCCCCTTTCACTTAAGGGGGATGCTAAGGCTTGGCTAAGGAATATGCTGTTGGGGATCATCAGAATGTGGAAAGATTTGGCAGACAATTTCCTTTAAAAGTACTATCCATTAAAACGTGCCAGAAAGACAAAGGGTGACATTAATAGTTTTAGACAAAACAATAATGAGACGCTGTACATAGCATGGGAATGTTTCAAAAAGGCGCCGCATAAAATTGCCCCATTATGGCCTAGATGATAGGGCCATAGTAAGAAACTTCTATTCTACTCTAAGAGAGGCCATAAAGCACGATGTTGATAATTAAGCTGATGGCCCAGCTCTAAATGAGGATCCAACAGAAGTTATTGAGATGCTGGAGGACATGGCTATGAAGGAGGATCATGCTTAGACAGAAATTGATTTTCCATATCCTTTCAAGTTCTGATGCTACTATCAAGAAGATTGTGTAACCATTAGCATTGCCCTTCAAGGAGAATGGGAAAAGCCTTAAGTATATGGCATCATTAGAAGCGCCACTAATC